GATGACGCATGGTCAAAAGCGTAGGTAAAACAGGGTAGACACCCTTTAGCATCAAAGATTACGCACGGTCAAAAGCATTACATGACGCCTTGGGGTGAAACTATAATTACCTTATGATCTAGTATATTTTCATTTGCCATTGGTACGAAAGGCCATTGAACATTTAGTACAAAGGGAGTTGCAGTACGGTATTCATTCTTGCTTTTCAAGTTGTTTTGCCAACCCAACACTGAATCAAACCAATGAATAAACAGTAGAAATTATTTTAATGACTCTTAATTACTTCTCTTTTGTTAGTTAGAACATCCAGTACCTTTTAATGGTTTCCTTGCAGCATACTTTTGAGGGCCTTTGGATCCACCCTAAAGCAGGAAAGATCCTTGGAGCTCTAGATCTCGGTGGTTCATCAACACAGATCTCATTCACCCCAAAAGACCCTGTGAGATTACCAGAATCAGCTTTTAATCTCCAGCTCTATGGGTACAAGTATGAGTTGTACACACACAGCTACTTGTGCTATGGCAAGGACCAGGCTTTGAAGAAACTTCAGGAATACCTTCACAAGGTTGGTTTTAAAGGCTTCACGAATATGTGCCATACCAGTTTTAGCACTGTGATGAAGGTTTAGAAAGAAAGTGTCTTAAACTATGGATACATTAAATATCTGATATGGTGTTTTTGCTTCATCCAGACTGCTGGACCAACATCTGTTGTCAGTCACCCATGCTACCACAAAGGATATAACGTCAATGTCACTTTGGCCGAACTTTACAACTCTCCTTGTGTGGTCAAACCAAACAATTTTAACCCCACGGCTATAGTCACTTTCTCAGGAACGGGAAATTCATCCCTCTGTCTTTCTCTAATGGAGAATATTGTCAACCTCACCGGCTGTGCCTTATCACCAGACTGTGGTTTCAATGGTGCCTATCAACCTCCTGTCAATGGCGAATTCTTTGTGAGTGTTGCATTCCTTATCAGATCAACTTCTTTTCAATATAGCATTATATTTCAGTTTGCAGTTTTATTTGTAAGGAAGGAAATGAAAGCACAATTACTGTGGGAAGATATAAAAACAACTTATTTGGTAACAAGGTTCATTCGTTAACATTAGTTAACATGAACTAAGAATGAACAATACTTCTACGGCATTTTTTAGTTAATATTAGTTTCAACATTTACTAATACTTTATTAGGTTGTATTTGGTAACATTAATGCACTGCAAACTAACATGAACAAACAATGAACAGCTGGATTTGTATTAACTAACATTAACTAATGTTAATAAATACTGTAACAAATGTTTTGCTCATGTTGGTTCATGTTAGTTATTACATTACATTACGTTACCACTTATTTTATATTGAATGTATTTTACATTACCTTACATGGACATGCAAAAACACAAAAAGTTTACAATATTTGATTAAGTCTATTTGCAGTGTTTCCTGCCACAGCAAAGGAAATAATATTTGACTTGAGTTATAAGTGTATCTCTAAATAATGTCAAGAAACGAGTTTCCCTAGCGGACTGCACATGAAAACAACATTGGCTTCTATGCAACAAGTTTATAATGAACGATTGAGCCGGCTCTTTTAATGAACAGTTGCTAGTAATTTTATATATGTATCTGGATTACGTAATAAGATTCCAAAAATTAAGTACTAATATTACGGTATATCCTACTCATAAGAAGTGTTTTCTGCTAAATGCAGAACATTGTAATCTTTGCATATCTTATCAGATCCTTGCCAACACATTAATTATTGTTTGAATTATCACTATCATTATTAGTGAGCCATTTAACTACGAATACCGTCTTTGGAAAGCAAACCACAGTCAAACTCATAATGTACAGTCAAATGTTCAAATAATCGTCATTACCTAATTAAATGCAATCCAGGGATTCCCCAACTTTTGTGTCAGCTGAACCTTTTTTTTTTACCAATATTTACTTGAAGTAAGTTAATAAGTAAGGTTCTCTGATGTTGGTTACATGACATGCAGGTAAACAAATAAAATATTCCGGTAACTCTTTTTTTACAGTGTCCTTGTTACATGTTACATTTTAGAGGAATTGCTAATTGTGCATAATTACAAGCAACAAACCCCAAACGACACCCTAACTCTAATCCTAACCCTTTAATATATATTGCTTATAACACTGTAACACGGATACCTTAAAATAAAGTGTAATCAAAATTTCATCTTTTTTAGAAAGTGCTTTTTTATTTATTAATTTAAATTTTATTATATATTTTATAATTATTTTTATATATTTTTTATTTTATATATTTTATTTTTGTTTTATTTTATTTTATAATTGTATAATTATATTATATTTTATTATATAATTAATAGCTTTTCATTAAACTCACAAACCGGGAAACCCTGATGTAATGTTAGATCAAACAAACCTAATGTAAGTTACGTCAAAAGTTATCTAAAAGTAATCCAAAAGTAGTCAAATTATATTACCTTAAATGTGTAATGTAATTGATAATGTTACTAACTAGTAACCGACTAAGATTTGTAAGTATTCTTCCCGGCACTGCTCACTCCGATGAGTCCTTCACTGAACTTAGTCCATTAGAGCGATTCCTATGAACAAATAAAGAAGTAGCTTTTAAATGACTTTTCAGTGAATTGAATTATCCTCTTTTTTTGCATTAAAGGTTCTCAAAGCGATCCTGGGTGATGACGTTCGAATATTTTCAAACAAATCGGAGCTAGACCCTCCCTCCTCCGCATCTCATCTCCTCCCCCTCCCTCCCTTCCGTGCTTCCTGAAATAATGTGCATAGTTCTAGCTAATTATATCCTTGTGTGGGTTTGGCGAACATAAGCGTCAATTTAGAAGAAAAAAAAAATAATTTAACGTTACCCACCTGTCAAGCAAAAACAGAGCAACCTGAATGTCGGACTGGAAGCCCTTCTGCCGCCGGAGTTCTCGCCATCGTTCAAAAGCTTTGCTACCGATGTATATTCGGAACTTCGCACATTCTTTATCCGACTCCTTCTTCTTTTTAATTTGTTCCTCAGAACGACGTCTCTTTGGTCGTGTGTCGGTAATTTTTCAAACTTCCCTCTGATGCTTCGCTGCTCTCCTTCACACACACACACACACACACACACCCTTCATGTGCACGCGTCGCGCACTAACCCCCCAGACCCACCCTCAAATACTTCTGGCCAGTGATTGGCTGGAACACTGTTTGTTAGGTTTCGTGGTCCGGGTAAGACATGATTGTTTTTGTTGCCGTTTGTGGAGCCTGTGGTGTCTACAGAGACCGCGTTTTTTACAGTGTGTTTAGGGGACAGGCAGCTAGCCGATAGTGAGGAGACGTTTAATGTATGTGACAAAAAATGTTTTGGCCCAGCATCGCTTAGAGAACCTTTAATTCGTATTTTCCATGTCTTAAAATGTTTCATTGCAGGCTTTTTCAGCATACTTCTACACCTTTGACTTCCTTGGTCTCGCCCCAAAAGCTCCACTGACACGGGTTCTTTCCACTATTGAGACTCACTGCAACAAAAACTGGACCACTGTGAGTCCACAGATACTATCACAATACATTGTAATCCTACATTTTATAGTAAAAAGCCTGGTCAGATGCGTAGTGATCACATATGATGAAATGTTCAGTATATTGGATAACGCTGATCCTAAATTTCATGGACCGTTATTCCTTTCTGCAGCTTACTGCTGAAAATCCAGCCATTAAGGTGAAATTTCTGAGAGATTATTGTGCTTCAGCTCATTATATTATGACTATTCTACTGAAAGGATACAAGTTCAATAGCACCTGGGATCAAATCTCTTTTGAGAAACAGGTAAGGAATACAGTTTCATTATTAGTTCTCATGTATTGCAATGCAGCTTTTCATAAATCAGATATGGGACTGTAATGTAATCTGCATTGCTAAAAAGCACAATGACAGTAGCTCATAAACTGATGTCATATGTGTCTCAATCAAAATACCAGATGACCTCTGCTCCAACAGTATAAAAAAAGCCCTTTGAGGAATCATCCTTTATATGGCATCTTTCACGTTTTATCAGTGTAATATGGGGATTTGTACTCATTTGGCCTTATGATGGTTACAGGTAGCAGACACAGATATTGGTTGGACTTTGGGCTACATGCTGAACCTGACCAACATGATTCCCTCTGAACGCTCCAGAGCAGTGACAGGGGTGGCGCACAGTCAATGGGCAGCTCAGATATTCTTCATTGTTTTTGCTCTCTTCCTCAGTCTGCTTATTATAGGCATCCTGTTTGTCTGTGATCCAAAAAACTAAGTTATTTGTGTCATGAGTGAATGTGTATGTTTACATTCTCTGTTCGCTTATATTTCAGATATGAAGATCTGACTACTGTTTAAGATGTTTGCTTTACAAAGAAAGAATCTATACATTTTGACATTATGATAAAAATGAGATGACTTGCCAAAAATATAGCTTTTTGTGAGTTTAAGTTATTTAAAGTATTGTCTTGTTTTGAAGGTTGACTAATTATTGCTCAAAGATTTAGTCTGTGCTAGCTAATAGTTAAATGAAATTTTTCATCATTTATAAAATCTGAGTCATAATAGTTTTTTTTTATTTGTTTGTACTAATTTTCACCTCCACTCAGCATTTACTTAAAGCATTTAACAGACATCAAATACATTTATAGTTACATTATTATATATGCTATTATAAAAATTAAACCATTATTGGTAACGCTTCCTTTTACAGTCCAGTTACCCATGTAAATACTATGTACTTATTTTAGTAACTACAATTACTGGGTAATAACTAGTACAAACCCTGAACCTACCCCTGTTCCATGTACTTACCTTATATTAGCCAGTACTTTCTGGGTAAGTGCACTGTAAGTACTGTACTGTAAAAGGAAGCGGTACCCCATTATGTTGCTTTGTACATATTTATAAAACACTGAAATTATATTTCCCTTAAACCTCGATATGAAAGCAGTTTATATTTTGCCTTTGCTTTTTGAAAAGTGTTTGTACACTACCTTCAAAGGTTTGGAGTCAATAAGATTTAATATATATTTTTAAAGTGTAAATAATTCCAGTCTTCAGTGTCACAGGATCCTTCAGATATCATTCTAATATGCTGATTTGGTGCCCAATAAACATTTCTCAATCATCAAGTTTGAAAATGGTTGTTCTTATTAAAATGCCTGTGGAAGTTGTGATACATTTTTTTCAGGATCCTTGTTGAATAAAAGTATTAATTAATTTTTTTTTTTTTAAATGTACTGACTAAAACTTTTGAATCGTAGTGCATCTCCATGTGTGGGAGTGTGTTTTTAACAGCAACCAGATTTCTTTGGTGGTGGTTCTCTTCTTAATGTTGTGTGTTTCTCTTTTCGTTTCTTGCGCTCCACTAACAACCTAGTAACAATAAGAAATGAGTCATTATGCATGGATAGAAACCACACGCATATTAAACGAGTAATAATTAGTGTAATGGGTTTTATTTGTTTTGAGTCTTACTCTGCAAGTGTCCTCAAGGATTCTGATGCATTATCCCCAGTTGCAGCACTGCACTCCATGAAATGTATTTTATACTCCTAATGAAGGGAAAAATACAACCAACCTTTTATAAAGGTTTATAGATGTAGAAGAAATGTATTTGTGCAAAACAACTAGACAGTACTGTTGAAGTCCCAATGAACTCTTACTCTGGCCAGATCCTCCCCTTCCTGAATCTGAACTTTCCGCTCAACAGAATCATTCTTGTTTCCGAGCAATATCATGATGGCATCATCAGGAGCCCTTTCCTGTGTGACATTGTCATAATACAATTAAGGGAAGAAAGAGATATAGCCTAGTTTATCAGCAAAATCACAATTTAGATTTACTAGAAAATATAAGGTCTTATAATTTGACAAAAATATAAGGAAATTTAAGTAATGAAAACAATGTCTACCCGAGCTTGAGAGATCCAATCTCGTACAGAAATAAAACTCTTTGAACATGTAATTTCATACATGAACAGAAGCCCATCAGCCTTGTGGAACACTTGTGTGGTGATGCTGTGAAACCTTACAAAAAAAATTGGGGGTTAAATCAGACACATCAAACCTCTTTTTTCATCATATTTTGTTTGTTCAGATGTGATGTCTTACCTCTCTTGACCTGCTGTGTCCCATATCTGCAGTTTAACAGTTCTGTCAGGCAGCTCAACAGTTTGCATACAGGTATCAACACCTAGGTGCAAAACATTATTAATCTGATATATGCAAGTTAAAAAAATAGCTTAAAAAGTTATTCTCATGAATGAATTTATATATTTATCATTTAGGGTTTCTTTGTGCATTTTTTCCTCATCAAAATTTAACTCATCAAAATAGGTTAAGCAAATTTTCAACTAATTTTTAGAAAACATGGCCCAGGAAAGTGCTTCGATCTCCAGTGAGGAAGACATCCAAGGCACCAAAGAGCTTCCCCCTCTCACAGGCCAGTATGGTACGGCACAGTTACAAGATCCCACTCTTACAAATGCCTTAAGATATGTGCATGTGTTAGAGGGAGTAGTGCTGGGGGATAGGACAAGCCCTACATACCCCCATTTCGCAGTAAGCCGGGGTAAGTGTATCAGGTTGTAAAGAAAAATAATGGGGTGGTGATGGCGCAGTGTATAAGACACATGCCTTTGGTGTGAAAGACCCGGGTTTGAATCCAATGTGAGACACCAATGTGTCTCTTACCAAGACAGTTAACCCCTAGTTGCCATGGTCAGCAGTACAGATTGAAGTAAGGTTGAAAAAGACTGTTTACTTTCCTGAGGGAAACTGATTTCACCATCAGAAGAGGTATCATTTAGGTTTTGACCTGATCCTTAGTTACACTTTTGTGTTCGTACGCTGTTTCTGCTAATTCCCAAGAAAGAACTGTAATAAAATCCTTGTTTACATTTGAACTAGCACTACTTGAACTGTCCCGCTGAGGTATGGGTTGATTGTACTTAATTTAAGGCAGAAAAATTTTTTACTTCAGTATTCGATTATCCCTTCTTTCTATCACAACACTCACCAATAGTAGAACGGTAATCCTGAGTGAACTGGCCTTCATGGATGCGTCTTATAAAGGAAGTCTTCCCCACACAGCTGTTTCCCACCATAACAACGTTAAATGGTAATTCACTATCTGAAATTATATGACAGAGTTTGTTGACATGAGTATTAGATATTAAACTATAAGTATTAATATCCAGGACAATGTTTTATGACTTTGCTCACTCCTGTTCTTTAAATGTATTGTCTGTCTAGTTCCAGTGCTTCTATCATGTTTTATGATCTGGTCCAAACAAACAATACCAGCACCAGTGCCTTTTGTAGCAGCTTCTTCATTTCTAGAACAAAAGAAAGTGAAAAACATATGTATTATTTTATTTTTTTAGACATAAAAGAGATTTGGGATGTACTCTTTTACAGCTCTCTGTCATACCTGGCGTCCATGTTGCTCTGCTCAGAGATTGGTTGGAAAATTGGCTGATTCTCTGGTTGTAAGCAGAGATGCGTATCACAAATCTAAACAAAACAGAAATTAGTGTTTTAAAACAAATACAATTTCCATAAAAGATTGAAGTACAAAATCTACGGACATTAAACGAAGTTCAACATACCGGTAAGTCATTGCGAAGATTGTCATCAACATCATCTCCTAATTCGCTCTTACAATCAGAGGCGTCCAGCCTACCAAGGCCTTGTTTGCCCTTATTAGTGCGTCTGGACCCAAACTTCCTTTTAGTTGAAGGCGACGACCTTTCTTGGACAATAGAGTTACTGCTTTCTTCTAACTGACTGCTACTTGTGTGTGCACTGGGGACATCAAGGTACTCTTTATTCAGTTTATTTTCAGGGATATTATGCACTACAGACGTCGCAACTATTTCAAGGTTCTTCATTTCTTGCTTATTTGCCTCTAAGTTGCCTTCCATCTCCCCATCCTCTTTGTCTTCATCCTCCCTTTCTGCTTTGATCTCCTGTCTGGGATTCTTGCGAGTTGAGCCCATTTTTCTTCTTCGTCTTTCTGGTGAGTTGGGTTCACTGTGAGTTTCGGAGCTCTGTGATGGTTTCGGCTGAAGAGATTTGATTTCTGAGTTTTCTGGCTTGTTGAGATGAGAAGTACTCACTAAGTCATCTGAGTTTGGCACAATCAATTCATGAATTGATGAACTTTGAGAAGTATTATTTAAAGCTCTCTCTATCTCACTAAGAAGTGAACCTTCTGACTGATCAGAGTAATTGTGAATTGTTTGTTCTCCTACAGCTTTTCCTACTAGGCTCATTTCAGAGTCCTGAGACATCTGCAGATGTGTTTCTGCAGTCTCCGTGTCCTCATATACATCTCTCTTCCCCCGTATTCTTCCTTCTCTGACATTTTTCCGAGTCGAGCCCATCTTCCTTCTTTTCTCAACTGGAACAGTCTTTGGCTGTAGATGTTTGGTAACATCAACACTTACTAACTGATCTTCAGTATTTTCAGGTGTTTCATGTCCAGTTGTTCTAGTTGGGTCAGAATTGTTCTGATAATCATTTTCACCTCCTTTTAAATCACTAACTAACATTTCTGATTCAATATCTATGGCACTGACAGCTTCTGGGGACATTTCCTTGGGCTGACTCATGTTTGATGCTAAAGGCATATCATCCAAATCATTCTCTGCTTTTTTAGCTCCTCCATCCATTGCCATACCATGTATATCATACTGGTCACCCATATTTTTCCCATGCATTACTCGAGGATTTTTCCGAGTGGAGCTGATCTTTCGTCTCTTTTCTTGGGTAGATGGTATTTTTTGAGAGCTGTTTTCATGAACAACATCATCTTGAATGTTTTTTAGTACTTGTGTTGGAAAAACTTGGCATATGGTTTCAGTTTGTTCAGGCTCGGATTCTCCATGAACATGCTGATCAGGGTAATCTGCAGACATGGTCTGATGAATATATTCACAACTGACTGTCAAGTCAAATTTGTCCATTGTCCCCCCATAGAGATTGATTGCCTCAGTCAGACTATTACTGTCATTTACAGTATTCTCCATTCCCTTTTCCTCACTCACCTCAGATGTGTCATGGATATTGAGAGAAACTTCCTTCACTCCATCTTCTGATTCAGAAAACATGTTTGAAATAGATGCTTGATGAGAAAATTCAACAGGGAAGTTTTGTTCATCCAGTTTACATTTATTTTCTCCTTTACTGACTGCTAAATGTGGGTCTGTGTCCTGCTCCTTTGCCATTCCTTTACACTCTGCATCCATTGTTTTGGATTCTACTTCTCCTCTTTGCCCTTTGTTTCCTCTGAGTGTTTTACGTGTTGACCCCATTTTTCGTTTTTTAACATCTGTAATCGAGTTTGATTGTATATCTTTTCTGTGAAACTCTTCAGGAAGAATGCTTGTGATTTTACTTTGTTCAGGAACTGAGTATGTCTCAACATCTCCCAAAGGAAGGTCTAAAACAATCTCAGCAGCTTGATTTTGATCATTTTGTTCAGAGTTTTCTGTCCGCACGTCTGATTTACTAACAACATCCTGAATGTCATGGCTTTCTTTACCAGCAGATGAACCAAATGTATGCTGATGTACAAGAGATCCTGTCATGGATTCTTCAAGAATTAATTTCTCCTCAGACTTTGTGGTACCATCATCAGTTGTTGTATTTTGAGCTTCTCCCTCCTTCTCTTCTTCAACATCTTCATTTACCATCCCCTTCCCTCTCTTCCGAGTTGATCCCATTTTTCTCTTCTGCAAAGATCTGTTGGAGACTGAAGGCATTTCAACTACCTCTGCTGGAGATACACGAGTGTCACTCTTGAAAACATTCTCAGATGACACATGAATTTGAGTCTGCTCCATAAGCAGGGCATCAGACAAGACAAGATCAGAATGACTTGTAAGGCCGTCTCTAGCAAAATCTGCAGTTTTCTCTGGGACATCTAATAAATGTGAGCCGGTATCATCCTGTACTGGACCAGTTTGTGTTTGAGATACAACTGATATTTGCTCTTGCTTTAAATCATCTGAGAGTGTTTCTGTTTCTTCTTCTCCTGACACTTCTACTCTCACTTTCATTTGTCCTTTGTTCCCTCTGAGAGGTCTTCGAGTTGAGCCCATTTTTTGCTTGTGAACAACTGGACTAAATTTTGTGTGTACCTCCTCTCTGTGAGAGTCTTCAGGAATGAAGTTGATGTCCCTTGGCTCAGTAATTGTTTTTGTTTCTCTTGAAACTTTATTCTCAACATTTTCATGTTTCACTCTTTCAGCATCCCCAGTTGTTACCTGGGACTCTTCATACATTTCTGTCAGGGTTTGTGATTCTGTGATGTGAGAGATGGTTACTGCAGTGGATTCCTCAGACACTGAATCTAAACTAAATGACGACTGTTCGAGAGCAGATTCAGTCCCTTCAACAGAACCAACATCATTCTTCTCACACATTTCCATCTCCTGTTCTTTAGCTCCATCTTTTGAGCTTTGAGATGTAGATTTATCTGGACTGGGTTCATCCTTCAAGCTGAATGTTTCTTTCTCTACATTCATCGTAGCTTCACTGTCAAGTGTCTCATCTTCATCATGATATTTCATTCCCTTTCTTTGTCCTTTATTCCCTTTGAGAGGCCTTCGAGTTGAGCCCATTTTTCGCTTGTGAACAATTGGACTCGATTTTGAGTGTGCCTCCTCTCTGTGAGTATCTTCAGGAATGGTTTTGGTGTCACTTTGATCAGGAATTGTGTTTGTCTTTCCTGATCCTTCAGTGACATCACCTTGAACAAGAAGACCAGTATCAGTCACAGAAGAAACAGTTTCGATATTTTCTGATACTTTAAATGTTTCCATATTTACAACAGTGACAGTGTCATTTTGAAGCAGATCAGACTTATTACTCTCCACTGTAACTGAATCTACAATAAACTCAACTTCTTCAACTAAAACAGTAGCTTCAGAGATGTTTTCTTCTGTTCTTTCTTCTGCCGATGTTGTTAAGTCTGTCGGTTTGGTTTCTGTTTGAATTTCTGAGTGTGATTCTGTACCTCCCTCTGCTGGCCCTCTTTCAGCGTCTCCAGTATTTTCCTGGGACTGTACATTAATTTCTGTCAGGGTTTGTGATTCTGTGATGTGAGAGATAGTTACTGCAGTGGATTCCTCAGACACTGAATCTAAACTAAATGACGACTGTTCGAGAGCAGATTCAGACCCTTCAACAGAACCAACATCATTCTTCTCACATATTTCCATCTCTTGTTCTTTAGCTCCATCTTTTGAGCTTTGTGATGTAGATTTATCTGGACTGGGTTCATTCTCCAAGCTGAATGTTTCTTGCTCTACATTCATCGTAGCTTCACTGTCAAGTGTCTCATTTTCATCATGATATTTCATACCCTTTCTTTGTCCTTTATTCCCTTTGAGAGGTCTTCGAGTTGAGCCCATTTTTCGCCTCTGAACAATTGGACTTGGTTTTGAGTGTGCCTCCTCTCTGTGAGTATCTTCAGGAATGGTGTTGGTGTCACTTTGATCAGGAATTGTGTTTGTCTCTCCTGATCCTTCAGTGGCATCATCTTGCACAAGAAGACCAGTATCAGTCACAAAAGAAACATTCTCAATATTTTCAGATACTTTAAATGTTTCCAGATTTTCAACAGTGACAGTATCATTTTGAAGCAGATCAGACTTATTACTCTCCACTGTAACTGAATCTACAATAAACTCAACTTCTTCAACTAAAACAGTAGCATGACGGATGCTGTCTTCTGTTCTTTCTGCTTCAGATGTTGTTAAGTCTGTCGGTTTGGTTTCTGTTTGAATTTCTGAGTGTGATTCTGTACCTCCCTCTGCTGGCCCTCTTTCAGCGTCTCCAGTATTTTCCTGGGACTGTACATTAATTTCTGTCAGGGTTTGTGATTCTGTGATGTGAGAGATAGTTACTGCAGTGGATTCCTCAGACACTGAATCTAAACTAAATGACGACTGTTCGAGAGCAGATTCAGACCCTTCAACAGAACCAACATCATTCTTCTCACATATTTCCATCTCTTGTTCTTTAGCTCCATCTTTTGAGCTTTGAGATGTAGATTTATCTGGGCTGGGTTCATCCTCCAAGTTGAATGTTTCTTTCTCTACATTCATCGTAGCTTCACTGTCAAGTGTCTCATTTTCATCATGATATTTCATACCCTTTCTTTGTCCTTTATTCCCTTTGAGAGGTCTTCGAGTTGAGCCCATTTTTCGCTTGTGAACAATTGGACTCGATTTTGAGTGTGCCTCCTCTCTGTGAGTATCTTCAGGAATGGTGTTGGTGTCACTTTGATCAGGAATTGTGTTTGTCTTTCCTGATCCTTCAGTGACATCACCTTGAACAAGAAGCCCAGTATCAGTCACAGAAGAAACAATTTCGATATTTTCAGATACTTTAAATGTTTCCATATTTACAACAGTGACAGTGTCATTTTGAAGCAGATCAGACTTATTACTCTCCACTGTAACTGAATCTACAATAAACTCAACTTCTTCAACTAAAACAGTAGCTTCACAGATGTTTTCTTCTGTTCTTTCTTCTGCAGATGTTGTTAAGTCTGTCGATTTGTTTTCTGTTAGAATTTCTGAGTGTGATTCTGTACCTCCCTCTGCTGTCCCTCTTTCAGCGTCTCCAGTATTTTCCTGGGACTGTACATTAATTTCTGTCAGGGTTTGTGATTCTGTGATGTGAGAGATAGTTACTGCAGTGGATTCCTCAGACACTGAATCTAAACTAAATGACGACTGTTCGAGAGCAGATTCAGACCCTTCAACAGAACCAACATCATTCTTCTCACATATTTCCATCTCTTGTTCTTTAGCTCCATCTTTTGAGCTTTGAGATGTAGATTTATCTGGACTGGGTTCATCCTCCAAGTTGAATGTTTCTTTCTCTACATTCATCGTAGCTTCACTGTCAAGTGTCTCATCTTCATCATGATATTTCATTCCCTTTCTTTGTCCTTTATTCCCTTTGAGAGGTCTTCGAGTTGAGCCCATTTTTCTCCTCTGAACAATTGGACTCGATTTTGAGTGTGCCTCCTCTCTGTGAGTATCTTCAGGAATGGTGTTGGTGTCACTTTGATCAGGAATTGTGTTTGTCTCTCCTGATGCTTCTGTGGCATCATCTTGCACAAGAAGACCAGTATCAGTCACAGAAGAAACATTTTCGATATTTTCAGATACTTTAAATGTTTCCATATTTACAACAGTGACAGTGTCATTTTGAAGCAGATCAGACTTATTACTCTCCACTGTAACTGAATCTACAATAAACTCAACTTCTTCAACTAAAACAGTAGCTTCAGAGATGTTTTCTTCTGTTCTTTCTTCTGCCGATGTTGTTAAGTCTGTCGGTTTGGTTTCTGTTTGAATTTCTGAGTGTGATTCTGTACCTCCCTCTGCTGGCCCTCTTTCAGCGTCTCCAGTATTTTCCTGGGACTGTACATTAATTTCTGTCAGGGTTTGTGATTCTGTGATGTGAGAGATAGTTACTGCAGTGGATTCCTCAGACACTGAATCTAAACTAAATGACGACTGTTCGAGAGCAGATTCAGACCCTTCAACAGAACCAACATCATTCTTCTCACATATTTCCATCTCCTGTTCTTTAGCTCCATCTTTTGAGCTTTGAGATGTAGATATATCTGGGCTGGGTTCATCCTCCAAGTTGAATGTTTCTTTCTCTACATTCATCGTAGCTTCACTGTCAAGTGTCTCATCTTCATCATGATATTTCATACCCTTTCTTTGTCCTTTATTCCCTTTGAGAGGTCTTCGAGTTGAGCCCATTTTTCGCTTGTGAACAATTGGACTCGATTTTGAGTGTGCCTCCTCTCTGTGAGTATCTTCAGGAATGGTATTGGTGTCACTTTGATCAGGAATTGTGTTTGTCTTTCCTGATCCTTCAGTGACATCACCTTGAACAAGAAGACCAGTATCAGTCACAGAAGAAACATTCTCAATATTTTCAGATACTTTAAATGTTTCCATATTTACAACAGTGACAGTGTCATTTTGAAGCAGATCAGACTTATTACTCTCCACTGTAACTGAATCTACAATAAACTCAACTTCTTCAACTAAAACAGTAGCTTCACAGATGTTTTCTTCTGTTCTTTCTGCTGCTGATGTCGTTAAGTCTGTCGGTTTGATTTCTGAGTGTGATTCTCTACCTCCCTCTGCTGGCCCTCTTTCAGCATCTCCAGTATTTTCCTGGGACTGTACATTAATTTCTGTCAGGGTTTGTGATTCTGTGATGTGAGAGATAGTTACTGCAGTGGATTCCTCAGACACTGAATCTAAACTAAATGACGACTGATCGAGAGCAGATTCAGACCCTTCAACAGAACCAACATCATTCTTCTCACATATTTCCATCTCTTGTTCTTTAGCTCCATCTTTTGAGCTTTGTGATGTAGATTTATCTGGACTGGGTTCATTCTCCAAGTTGAATGTTTCTTTCTCTACATTCATCGTAGCTTCACTGTCAAGTGTCTCATCTTCATCATGATATTTCATACCCTTTCTTTGTCCTTTATTCCCTTTGAGAGGTCTTCGAGTTGAGCCCATTTTTCGCCTCTGAACAATTGGACTCGATTTTGAGTGTGCCTCCTCTCTGTGAGTATCTTCAGGAATGGTGTTGGTGTCACTTTGATCAGGAATTGTGTTTGTCTCTCCTGATCCTTCAGTGGCATCATCTTGCACAAGAAGACCAGTATCAGTCACAAAAGAAACATTCTCAATATTTTCAGATACTTTAAATGTTTCCAGATTTTCAACAGTGACAGTATCATTTTGAAGCAGATCAGACTTATTACTCTCCACTGTAACTGAATCTACAATAAACTCAACTTCTTCAACTAAAACAGTAGCATGACGGATGCTGTCTTCTGTTCTTTCTGCTTCAGATGTTGTTAAGTCTGTCGGTTTGATTTCTGTTTGAATTTCTGAGTGTGATTCTGTACCTCCCTCTGCTGTCCCTCTTTCAGCGTCTTCAACATTTTCCTGGGACTGTACATTAATTTCTGTCAGGGTTTGTGATTCTGTGATGTGAGAGATAGTTACTGCAGTGGATTCCTCAGACACTGAATCTAAACTAAATGACGACTGTTCGAGAGCAGATTCAGACCCTTCAACAGAAACAACATCATTCTTCTCACATATTTCCATCTCTTGTTCTTTAGCTCCATCTTTTGAGCTTTGTGATGTAGATTTATCTGGGCTGGGTTCATCCTCCAAACTGAATGTTTCTTTCTCTACATTCATCGTAGCTTCACTGTCAAGTGTCTCATCTTCATCATGATATTTCATTCCCTTTCTTTGTCCTTTATTCCCTTTGAGAGGCCTTCGAGTTGAGCCCATTTTTCGCTTGTGAACAATTGGACTTGGTTTTGAGTGTGCCTCCTCTCTGTGAGTATCTTCAGGAATGGTATTGGTGTCACTTTGATCAGGAATTGTGTTTGTCTTTCCTGATCCTTCAGTGACATCACCTTGAACAAGAAGCCCAGTATCAGTGACAGAAGAAACAATTTCGATATTTTCAGATACTTTAAATGTTTCCATATTTACAACAGTGACAGTGTCATTTTGAAGCAGATCAGACTTATTACTCTCCACTGTAACTGAATCTACAATAAACTCAACTTCTTCAACTAAAACAGTAGCTTCACAGATGTTTTCTTCTGTTCTTTCTTCTGCAGATGTTGTTAAGTCTGTCGATTTGTTTTCTGTTAGAATTTCTGAGTGTGATTCTGTACCTCCCTCTGCTGGCCCTCTTTCAGCATCTCCAGTATTTTCCTGGGACACTATATTAATTTCTGTCAGGGTTTGTGATTCTGTGATGTGAGAGATAGTTACTGCAGTGGATTCCTCAGACACTGAATCTAAACTAAATGACGACTGTTCGAGAGCAGATTCAGACCCTTCAACAGAACCAACATCATTCTTCTCACATATTTCCATCTCTTGTTCTTTAGCTCCATCTTTTGAGCTTTGAGATGTAGATTTATCTGGACTGGGTTCATCCTCCAAACTGAATGTTTCTTTCTCTACATTCATCGTAGCTTCACTGTCAAGTGTCTCATCTTCATCATGATATTTCATTCCCTTTCTTTGTCCTTTATTCCCTTTGAGAGGTCTTCGAGTTGAGCCCATTTTTCTCCTCTGAACAATTAGACTCGATTTTGAGTGTGCCTCCTCTCTGTGAGTATCTTCAGGAATGGTGTTGGTGTCACTTTGATCAGGAATTGTGTTTGTCTCTCCTGATGTTTCGGTGGCATCATCTTGCACAAGAAGACCAGTATCAGTCACAGAAGAAACAATTTCGATATTTTCAGATACTTTAAATGTTTCCATATTTACAACAGTGACAGTGTCATTTTGAAGCAGATCAGACTTATTACTCTCCACTGTAACTGAATCTACAATAAACTCAACTTCTTCAACTAAAACAGTAGCTTCAGAGATGTTTTCTTCTGTTCTTTCTTCTGCCGATGTTGTTAAGTCTGTCGGTTTGGTTTCTGTTTGAATTTCTGAGTGTGATTCTGTACCTCCCTCTGCTGGCCCTCTTTCAGCATCTCCAGTATTTTCCTGGGACTCTACATTAATTTCTGTCAGGGTTTGTGATTCTGTGATGTGAGAGATAGTTACTGCAGTGGATTCCTCAGACACTGAATCTAAACTAAATGACGACTGTATGAGAGCAGATTCAGTCCCTTCAACAGAACCAACATCATTCTTCTCACATATTTCCATCTCTTGTTCTTTAGCTCCATCTTTTGAGCTTTGAGATGTAGATTTATCTGGACTGGGTTCATCCTCCAAGCTGAATGTTTCTTTCTCTACATTCATTGTAGCTTCACTGTCAAGTGTCTCATTTTCATCATGATATTTCATTCCCTTTCTTTGTCCTTTATTCCCTTTGAGAGGTCTTCGAGTTGAGCCCATTTTTCTCCTCTGAACAATTGGACTTGATTTTGAGTGTGCCTCCTCTCTGTGAGTATCTTCAGGAATGGTATTGGTGTCACTTTGATCAGGAATTGTGTTTGTCTCTCCTGATCCTTCAGTGGCATCATCTTGCACAAGAAGACCAGTATCAGTCACAAAAGAAACATTCTCAATATTTTCAGACACTTTACATGTTTCCATATTTACAACAGTGACAGTATCATTTTGAAGCAGATCAGACTTATTACTCTCCACTGTAACTGAATCTACAATAAACTCAACTTCTTCAACTAAAACAGTAGCATGACAGATACCGTCTTCTGTTCTTTCTTCTACCGATGTTGTTAAGTCTGTTGGTTTGGTTTCTGTTTGAATTTCTGAGTGTGATTCTGTACCTCCCTCTGCTGTCCCTCTTTCAGCATCTCCAGTATTTTCCTGGGACTCTACATTAATTTCTGTCAGGGTTTGTGATTCTGTGATGTGAGAGATAGTTACTGCAGTGGATTCCTCAGACACTGAATCTAAACTAAATGACGACTGTTCGAGAGCAGATTCAGACCCTTCAACAGAACCAACATCATTCTTCTCACATATTTCCATCTCTTGTTCTTTAGCTCCATCTTTTGAGCTTTGAGATGTAGATTTATCTGGACTGGGTTCATCCTCCAAGTTGAATGTTTCTTTCTCTACATTCATCGTAGCTTCACTGTCAAGTGTCTCATCTTCATCATGATATTTCATACCCTTTCTTTGTCCTTTATTCCCTTTGAGAGGTCTTCGAGTTGAGCCCATTTTTCTCCTCTGAACAACTGGACTCGATTTTGAGTGTGCCTCCTCTCTGTGAGTATTTTCAGGAATGGTGTTGGTGTCACTTTTATCAGGAATTGTGTTTGTCTTTCCTGATCCTTCGGTGGCATCACCTTGCACAAGAAGACCAGTATCAGTCACAAAAGAAACATTCTCAATATTTTCAGATACTTTCAATGTTTCCAGATTTTCAACAGTGACAGTGTCATTTTGAAGCAGATCAGACTCAGTCATGTTACCCTCCACTGTAACTGTATCTACAATAAACTCAACTTCTTCAACTAAAACAGTAGCATGACGGATGCTGTCTTCTGTTCTTTCTGCTTCAGATGTTGTTAAGTCTGTCGGTTTGATTTCTGTTTGAATTTCTGAGTGTGATTCTGTACCTCCCTCTGCTGTCCCTCTTTCAGCATCTCCAGTATTTTCCTGGGACTGTACATTAATTTCTGTCAGGGTTTGTGATTCTGTGATGTGAGAGATAGTTACTGCAGTGGATTCCTCAGACACTGAATCTAAACTAAATGACGACTGTTCGAGAGCAGATTCAGACCCTTCAACAGAAACAACATCATTCTTCTCACATATTTCCATCTCCTGTTCTTTAGCTCCATCTTTTGAGCTTTGAGATGTAGATTTATCTGGACTGGGTTCATCCTCCAAGTTGAATGTTTCTTTCTCTACATTCATCGTAGCTTCACTGTCAAGTGTCTCATCTTCATCATGATATTTCATTCCCTTTCTTTGTCCTTTATTCCCTTTGAGAGGCCTTCGAGTTGAGCCCATTTTTCTCTTATAAACAACTGGGCTTGATTGTGTGTGTACCTCCCCTCTGTGAGTATCTTCAAGGATTATGTTGATTTCACTTGAAACCTCATTCTCAGGACTTTCAGATACTTTCAGTGCTTCAGAAGAGGTTTGAATAGAATTCCTGTTACTCTTCCCTGTTACTGTGTCTCCATCAACCTCAAATTCTCTAACTTTCTCTTCTGTTCTTACAGCTTCACTGGTTGATGAGTAAAAAGTTTTGCTCTGTGTTTGAATTTCTAAGTCTGTGTCTCCCCCTACTGGCAGTATGTCAGTATCTCCTTCATTTTCCTGGGTCTCTGAATGAAATGTTGGAAGCTTGTAAGAATCTTGAGAATCTTCAGGAATGACAGGGCTGATATCACTTTCTTCATTAACAGAGTCTGTCTCTTCTGAACTCACAGCTACTTGCAAGATGACACTAGAATCAATCTCAGTACAAATCTTATCTGATATTTGAAATGCTTCCAGGTTTATATCAGGGGAAGTATCATTTTGCTCTTCTGTTAATATTTTGTTTTGCTCTGGATGTTCTATTTGTAAATCTGATTTGCTATCATTAAACACTGTGCAAACATTGGTTAGAGGTTTTTTCAACTCTAATATCAGGACTGCTGCATCCATCCCCTCAATTCCTTCTGTCTCTTCACTTCTTCCAACACTTTTATCAAAAGCTGCATTCTCTGATTCGGCACTGAAAAATGTTACTTGCTTTTCAGTTTCCTCAGATCCACTTTCACTTAAATCATATTTAGCATGAGACTGCATAAACAGTTGTTGGTTTTCATGAGATCCTGTCTCTGTTGCTGAGTCTTCAAAACTAAGCATTTCCTCTGACTTTGAGGTCACATCATTAATTACAGTAGTCCCAGTCTCTTCTTTATCTTCTCTAACCTCCTCATTTTCTAGCATCTTCCCAGCATTATCTTGTGGTGGACCACTTTGTGTTCGAGATATAGTTGATGAATAGTCTTGTTCTTGTTCTCTATGCAACTCCTCTTTTGCAGTTGAATCTTCACACGGTTTCTGATTTGAAATCAAAATTGTCTCAGTGCTCTCTCCTCCGTCTTCTTTAATATTTGTTACTTCCATTATTATTTGTGTTACAATGTGATCTCTTGCATCACCCTGGACTGGACCTCTTTCATCACACTCTAACTCAGTAAGAGAATCACATGTCATTGAAGCAACATCACTAACATCATTTTCATGTTTCATTTCCACATAAATCTTATGGCTTTGTTCAACAGCATCGCTCATCTCATGTGGTGAGTTGGTGGTTGTGAGTTTAGCATGGCTAATATTAGACGCAGGCACATCAAAACTGCTATTTCCTCCATCTATACGTTGAGCAGTAGAATGGTCAAAGTTATCATTTTGGCTTAGTGAAGGCGATTTCTCAGAATTTAACACAAGTTCCTCTAAATGTGCATCCTGTCCTGGCGATAAACTACTCATTTTATTGTTTGTAGATGGTTCCTCTTTCTGCTTTAGAACCTCCTCGCCTTCTACTGTGTTTACATCTCTACAGTTGTGAGATGTGTTTGTATAATTTCTTGTATCAGTTACATGTTGATTGTCATCACTTAAATTATTTCCTGCTTCTTCCAAAACTTTGTTTGGAACATCAAAATCCTCAGTGTTTGAACCAAATTTAAAATCCAAACCCTTGTTGAGTAATAGAGTACCATGGTGGCTAGATGTTTCAGGTAGGGACTTTTCTGGATCAACAAGGGGAAAAACAACTGATTGATTCATAGTTTCAGTTCCAACTGAAACATCAGGCTTGTTCAGCTCAGCTCTCTTAGCCAAGAGAGACTGATTTGAAACCAAAGATGATTCTGTGTAGGACGATGGATCATCTCTTGCCACATCATCCCACATTTGCACCATCTCTTCTGACATGCTGAACTTTGCTTCGTCTATGACTTCTGCTTTCCTTTCATTCTCTGTCATGCTTCTCGAATGTTCTTGCAAACCTACATTTTCACTGTTTTTCCCACCGAGAGGCCTCCGAGTTGATCCAATCTTTGTTTTTTGACCAGAGGTGCAGGCTGATGGGGTTTCTTGGCGACTCAATGTCTTTAGTTCATTAAACATGACTGAATCCTCCTGCAACAAATCACGTTCAGCTACTGTAGCAGCTGCAGAATTGACAGATTCCCCCATTGCCTTGTCTATAGGCGTATCACTAACTACCTCATATGAATGAGACGTTATTTCTTGATGGTGTATTGCATCTTCTTCTTCATTTTCTGAAACCACAACCTTAACAGATGCTCGAGGCTCCCCTCCCAACCCAGAACTTTCAGCTTGAAGGGATAAATTAGAAGAAAAACTTGATGAACTTGATTGCTCATCTTCTGTGAGAGATGGATTTTGCTCTTCAGAGGCTGATGTGTTTGATTGAGTTACATATTCATCTAAATCTTCAGTGGTCCTCACCTCAAGTTTCCTCTCAACTTTAAACCCACCAGCACTCTTGCGAGTTGATCCCATTTTTCTTTTCCGTTCTGGCAGTTCAGTCTCAATGAGCGAATCATTTTGACTCCTTGCATGTGGAGGACATTCTAACACAGATGTTTGTTGTTCAATACTTGAGCTTGGTGGAAGATCAAACTGGGCTGAATGGTAATCAGTGAGGGTGTGAAATTCATTTTGCCCATCACCACTCTCTGCAATCTGCTGAAACCCATCATCTTCCTCATCATCTTTCTCAATTTTTCTGTTAAGACCTTTAGGACCTCGCCGAGATGAACCAAGTCTCTGGTTCTTCTTGGATCTCCTACCGGACATGGCTGTTCATATGTTCATTCAATGAGACAAACAATGGGGATAAGTCATTTCTAAACATCTTCAACACTTTTACAACAACACGACTAAAAAAGGAAACCATAGAGCATAAGTGATGCGTCATATGTATGACTCATAACAAATGTCACGCATGTGCTCTCAATGCACCCTAACACACTAGAATAAATACTAGATAAATAAATACACCTTATAAATACAAGATGAATATAAGGTCTAGAGTTATATTTTCAATAAAAACAACTGTGTCAAAAAAAACACATTTGTCATCATTCAACATCTTGCCACTATGCTCTACAACTACGGTCGTCATTAAAGGCATTCTCCTTTCATTCAGCATGTGCATCATTTTACCGTTTTATTTTACAGTTTTAGCAACAATATATAACAACTTATGAAGCATCTCACAACCTAAATGGAAAACAAATGAGTAATGATGAAATACTTTTCCAACTATTGTAATCATCTAAATCCAACAGAGAAATAAAAAAAACTTTATATGTAAATGCCACGACACACACCAACAAACTACTCAGATGGCAATGTGAAAACACATTCCACTAATAACTAAAACTAAGTAACATGATAAAGTATAAAACTTCATAATTTTCATAAAACTTTGCATTTCCAAATGCAAATGACAGCCCCCTAAAACTTGTGACGCTAGGAAAGTACCATGATAAACTGATGTTACCTTCTGGTAATCCTTCAAGAATCCATCTACTTAGCAGTCTTGGGTTTTTTAGCAGAGCACAGAGCTGAACACTTTAAGCCGCTCAAGTTTCTCTTTTGTAGCTTCCTTTTCGCTGCTACCCTCAACTTCCTGTATTGTTGACACAAATTGCATCGCATGTTAAGTGTGAACGGTAAGCATACATTTCATGAAGAGAGTTGCTGATTATTCTTTAAGTGCATCTCAGACAAGTTTTTGTCCTTCAAAATTTGATTTGCCAGCACATATTTTAAAGTTCACTAATGCAAACCATTAGCCTAACAATTTTAAACTCTAAATACAGATACATTAAAAGGAAAATATTCATATTAAGCTACATTTTATTTTTTACCTTGATATACCCATCTGGGTTGTTCTGCAATAAGGTTCAATTTATTAACATTAATGCATTGCATAAGAACTATCATTGCAGAATTATACACAATTGTAGGTTAGTGTTAATTCATAAATCTATTATTCATTGTATCCATTTGAACATACAGAAATTATAATAACCTAAATTAATACATGCTGTAAAAATATAATAGCTAATTCATGATTCCTAATGCAATAACGAATAGGGCTGTGAAACGAATAATCGTGATTAATCGCATCCAAAATAAAAGTTTGTGTTTACATAATATATGCGTGTAGTGTGTTTCCTATAATTATTTGGTATATAAATACACACATATGCATGCATATATTTAACAAAAATGTATTCTTACTATTAATATTAATTTTGTATAAATATATATAAAGTATATACATGCAAATATTTATTAAATATATACATGCATGTGTGTATTTATATATACAAAATAATTATACACACTACACACACATATATTATGTAAACACAAACTTTTATTTTGGATGCGATTAATCGTTTTACAGCCCTAATAACTAACGTCATTGCTAATCAGAGTGAATTGTTGAGCAAAGAGGAGTCATACAGTGAATTCATAAGGAAGTTTTTTTTAATGGAAGTACAAACAAAAAAAGCATACAAAATTGGTTTCAAATGATCAACAGACATGAGTTACTCCTTTCAGAACCTTTCACTGCCCAAACAGCATAAAATTACATTCCCGGCATTTAGGCAGGATGAAACCATTGCTACCCATTAAGCACAGATATCTTAAGTAAAAAAGGATCCTCAGAATGCTATAGGGAAAACACATTTTAAAAAGACTTTGGGGCCAAAAAAAAAAAAAACTAAAACAAACAAAAAAAATCCATTATTTCCCATCATCTTAGTCTGTTGAGGAGGAACGCACAGACATGCTTTCTGACAATGCTGGACTTGAACAATTCTCATTTCCGACCATTGGATCGTGAACGACTGAAAAGAAAAGAAACAAGACAAATTCAATGAGCGTAATACTCCAGCTGTGTTAATACACAACTACTTAAAAGTATAAATTTACCTGCGTGATCTTGAGAAAGACCTTGAAGGTTTATAGTTTCTATCATTAGATAAAGACCTCTCTCTTCTCCTCTCTCTGGAAAGGGACCTATAAAAGTAAATGCAATTAAATGAGTGTTCGACATAATTACTCACATTGCTAAGGAATTGCAGAAATAAGAAAAGATGCAGGGTAAAGTTACAGAGCAATATCCATAAGAATAGCCATAAATATAAGTGATGTCAATACTTTTGTATGATTTTGAAAACATTTAAGTAGCTCACCTGCTCCGACTACGGCTAAAGCTCTGCCTCCTGGGAGACCTAGACAGAGATGCAAGATATACTGACAAGTCAGGGGTCAATATGGTCAAGAATATTCATGACATATGAAGCGCCACGCAATGACAATTGTAGTTTTTTTTTCCAGAACAGATAATAATCTGCCTTCAGTGAAGGTTTTAGGAAACCCATAATGGGTGAACCAATTTTTAAATCAACCAACTATCAGAAGCAGCAGTTCCATATCAGCCTTTTATTTGCCAAACCTCTGTGAACTGATCAAAAAAAGTTTCAGTGAGAAAACTACTGAAACAGAGGGTTATAAATGTATTGATTTGAAGGGGAGATACTCACTCTTTGGATATTGTAAAACAAGTTACCATAACAAAAAAAAAAAGGTCATACCTCAAAACCACCAAATAAACAATTCAATGTCATTAAGCGGGAGGAAAAGGCATTAACTTACTATTCTGTTTTCAACAAGCTAGTTATGATGCAGTGAAGCTGAATGCTGATCAGGAGGGCGTAATTTGCGGGGAGATTTTGCCAGATGGTTGCTAGATGTTAACAGCTATACAGTAGTGGCTGAAGATGTCAGTTAGATGAGGACTGCTGAGGATATGTTGTCATGTAGACATTTGGGGAGGGGCATAAGACCCGTTGATTGGTAGTAAGTGTGGCGTGGTTGGCTTTGCCGATCAGGTTAACGTTGGAGGAGGTGAAGGAGCCTGAGAGAGGCATGCTCAGGAACCAATGGGCTGGTGGCCATGCTTGGAACATGTGAGCTGATTGGTGTACGCTGGTCACATGATGTTGAAAGGGCTAGTTGACTGACTCAGAGGTAGATGAGTAGAGGCTTGGTGATGTCTCTGAAAGGGGGGTGGGGTGGTCAACTTCATTAATATAAATAGAAAAATGACAAAACCCAAACAATGAGAAGATTCTTTGGAAATAAGTCATGTGATCAGCTAAAGACAAAAAAAAGGAACAGCTGGGCCCGGTTGCATGAAACCTCTTAATGGTTTGACTTACAAGGGGAAAACAAATCCCTGAAGCAAGGGATTTCTTTTAAGTGCGTTGCAACTAACGTCTTAAGGCCTGGGTATACTTCATTTTCCACATTCTACTTTTGACTCATGCACAATTGAGTGTGGGAGCTTTTTAAAGTATACTCTTTTGGCCGTAAGTGTAGAAAGAGTGCGAGAGCCAAACTTTGATAGTGGACTGTCGTAGACGCACTGTCCATGCGGACACAAACATTGGGCAGCACGTTGACAGTGTGCGTGGCTGTCCCTCCTGATGACAAAAAACATGTCACATGGAGACTGTGGAACGTGGACGGCCAGTGTATACTTTGGGCTTTAACCATCATCCTTCCCTAAGTGCTTATTTTAAGCATTTTGCGATGGCATTTTTCTGGCAAAACAGGGCAATGGAGAAGCAGTTGCTATAGTTAAATCTTGCTCTATAATATATATATATATATATATATATATTATAATGTGTAAAATCAAAATCTTCCACTATAAACAGAACAAAACAGACAACTGTCTTTTTATCATTTAATAAACTATACAGCTACAATTACAACTAAAATGTTACGGAGATTATTAAAGAGGGTCTGACAGACAACATAGAGCATCCTAAAATTCAAGCACATTTTTTCGATGAGTGTACGCACACAGGCAGTGTCCAGCTACATTACTGGTGGATGCTCTAAATCCTGCCGTGCAAATCACAGTTTTCCATTTAATTACATTATATTTGTCCACCTCCTTGTTACTTTACCCACGCATCGACGCCACTTTGTCTGTAGAGTTATTAAATTGACTTATTTTGCCGCCTTGAACTGAAGCATGAAAGTACAGAATGATGCGTCCAGTGTCTTAGCCGTGGCACACTCTGTGCCTAGTCCTGTGTGTTAACCGCTTTAAAGAGCACCTATCATGGATTTTTGAAAATGACTGTTCATGTAGTGTGGAATATAGCTCTAAGGGAATGAAAACATCCTGCAAAGATTTATATCTGAAAGTGCACCGTATAGACCATTTTGCAAGATGTAAACAACACTGGTCCACAAACACTTCCTGTTTCAGTTTGCAACCGTTTTCTTTATTTCACATGTAAAGAAAAAATCTTAAAGATGTTTGTTTAACGTTTTGATTCAGTTTTATATGTTCTGTTGGTTGTATTTTATCCCAGCTTTATGTAGTGTTAAAAAACTGAAACAGGAAGTGCTTCTGGACCAGTTTTGTTTACATCTTGCAAAATGGTCTATATAAAGTTATTGTCTTTCAAAAGTGAGAGTCGACTCTGAGTCTATGACATGAATTGTTTTTGAAACGAGTCATTAGCTGTTACATCGTGATGTAGACAGGTCATTGGCCGCTACCAACAACTGCGCGCGCATACGGAAGTGTAAACTTGAAGTGACGTTTAGAACACATTCAAATATGTTCTAGGTTGTTTCTGAAGGAGGGCTCAGTATCCAGTGTATATGGATCAGGTTCGTCCTCCTCCGAATCACAATCTGTAAGTAATGTTAATAATGTTTGCTGTAGCATGCACAATATAGTTATATTGTGTTGTGTGTGTTGTGTACACTCCGCGCAGCTTCTAAGCGGGGTAAAGTTAGTTTTGTTTTTGATATTCACCAGACATTCATTGAAAAATGGCAATTACCTCCTAAACGACTTAGCCAAATATGACTTCGGTCTATATAATAAGCACTGCCCTGCAAAAGCCGCCGCAATGTGAGTTTCGCCGGGAAAGCTTGCTCTAGACGGAGACGCGAGTAAGGGACCGTGTGGAAAGTGCACTTTTTCTGACACGTTTGTTCAAACACTATATACAATTTTCAACACTTGACAAGCTATCCTGGTTATGGGCGTTCCGTTGCCGACAGTCTCTGCCTACGGTTTACCATTAACAACTGACTGGGTCATTTGACCAATCGCCGCAGATTCGCGTCACTCAAAGGAGGTGTTTGGGAAAATGAATCGTCAAACGAATCATTTGGGAGTCGTTGAGCAAATCAGTTAAAAATAAATGCATATTATAAGACAAATAGGGTTTATCCTTGCATGCACATTAAACTGTTTTTGGGAACTCCTAAAACAAAAATAGAAACATTTCAAATGCTATGATAGGGGCTCTTTAAAGTTCTAGTAAGAAGAAATCTAAACCAAAATGGACAAAAGACAAAAAAGCTATCCTGTTTTGGTCCCTTAATTTTAAGGTGAAATTATCAATAAGGACTTTGTTGCAATGCACAAAAGAATTTTAAGGTGAAATTATCACTAAGGACTTTGTTGCAATGCATAACAGAACTTAAGGGAACACTTAAGTAATTAAGGGAAATAATACTTTATGACAGCCTTAATGTTCCTTAAGTGGACCCTTATTTTTTTTCTGCAACCCATGTTTCACTAATGGTACCCTTAACCTTATAAATTTGGGCTTTCTTAACTTAAGGGATTTCATGCAACCGGGCCCTGACCCCCACAGCAATTATTATTATAATTTTTTTTCAAATTAAAGAAATCTTACTATTGCACTGTAAAATAAAAACATTTATTAATAATAATATTATTATAGTACAATATATAAATAAATTAATACAATTATTATTATATTTTACAGCACAACAGAAAAATACTAACATTTATGGTGGTCCTAATTTTTTGGCTTTCAAACATTAAACCACTGAGCTTTTATTTTGAAGGAAAACCACAGGAAGACCTAGACAACAGATTTATAAACGATTCTCATTACGAATTTGAGAAGACAGTTGGTGCATGTTGCCTTAAATTGCAGAAAAGCATTTAGCGCGAATTCGAAAAATGAACAGTGCCGTGCTTTGGCTTTACTCTGAAACATGCAGCACAAATGTTGTGATTTGATGATCGCATTAGGCCATATCACATTCTCACAGCCATGCACTGTCAAAATTCATTAAAAAAAAGGTTACCAGGCAACAGCCAAGTAAAATTTCAATGCTTAATTTCACTTGCATTCTCGCAGATGGTGCCGCCAGCTTGTGCAGCGCTGTCAGAATCAATTTGTGCATTTTATAAATGGGGTTAGAAAATGTGACATTTTGCAGTTTATTTAATATTTGTTTAAGGCTATTTCACGATTCCAATCATCAATGTAACCAGCCACATTTTTTAATCCCTCAGATTTATACAATTCACGTGGGTCCTACTTTTCAGGACGGAAAATCTAATAAATAGGGGGAAATAATACTCCAGGAAATCCGTGACTACAATTTAAGTAAATGAATATCCCTGATCAAACTTAATGCAGTCATTTAGAATAATGGACATCAGTTAGGGGGAATGAAGCTTGGTTAACCAAAACAACCATTGAAAACTTCAGGGCAAGCATAGCGAGGGGAAGTTTTCGAATAACTTTCCCAAATTTATGAAAAGATGCTGGTTTGTCAGTCTCCACACCTAGACTCATGATTCTGCCTAAAGACTCCTTTTGCGCCGACGTCACAGTTACGTCACATCGCTAGCTGGAGGCAAAACAAAGTGAAAACTGGAGGCGGCCAATACAAAACAGCACAGAATCGGCTACATAATAAGGAGCTTAAATTACTTATTGTTATTAAATATAATCTTATTGTGTTGTTTGGTGCAAGAATTGATGAAAAATGAATATACTGTATCTGGACTTTTTATTTCTAGAAAATATTCACATGATTAAAATCGCACCGTAATAAATTGTCGTCTTCTCTGCCCTGGCTAGGCAGAACTGCGGATCGTACACAAAAGTCTTGTACAGGACCATTCAGCACATAGTTATAGGCATCTAAAGGTTTATATGCCCTCAGTCTCTCTTTACGATCAGTTTCTCTGGTAGGTGTAGAAGTCAGGCCACTCAACCGTGGTAACGTAATGTTAATCCTGTCAGATCATCCATGCATTTAGTGAGCGTGTGAAGGCTATGGGTCGGCCAATCTGGTTTCGTCTTGGACAGTGAATGACCTTACACATTAAGATAAAATCTGGATTCTCTTCAGTCATTGTTAAAAAAACAAGCAAATAAAACTTGCTAACTAGCATTAGTGAAGCGGCCAGAGGGATCGTTCTGCCTCCACCTAAGCTCCGCCCACAAAAAAACGTCACCATGTTTACCAACTGAAAAGGGGTCTATAACTGAATGGGTTTAAAATATAATGGGTCAAAAGTAGCTCAAGGTGATCAAGACAAAAATCAAAACTGTACCGGCGTCTAGCGGGTGGGCTGCGGCGTCTAGAATCATCACGTGGGCGGCGATTCCAAGAAGGGGGTGGCCCTCGATACCTTGATCGTTTTTCACCACTGGACATTTCAACTCGCACCCGACAACCACATAGTGTTCTGAAGACGACAAACAAAGGGTTATAAAAATACTTTGTGGACAAAGCATGCCACATATTTCAAGATCATGCAGTCCAACCACTGAGAAAACAAAGCAATAAATACCAATTAGCTGTTATATTGGTGAAATTGTCAACATTTAATACTCTGTTTTTTCAGTATCAGTAATAAATAAAATCTGATTAAACAGTATCAGTAATAAATAAAATCTGATTAAAAATATTAAAACAATAATTGTTTGTATATATTTTATACACATTTTTCATTTTAGTTTAAGTAATTGTGTTGTACTTTTATCATTTTTAATGTTTTCATATACAGTGGGTATGGAAAGTATTCAGACCCCCTTAAATTTTTCATTCTGAAATCATTTAAGTTGTGTTTTTATTGTTTATTTTTTCCCTCATTATTGTACACACAGCACCCCATATTGACAGAAAACACAGAATTGTTGACATTTTTGCACATTTATTAAAAAAGAAAAACTGAAATATCACGTGGTCCTAAGTATTCAGACCCTTTGCTGTGACACTCATTTAATTAACTCAGGTGCTGTCTATTTCTTCTGATCATCCTTGAGATGGTTCTACACCTTCATTTGACTCCAGCTGTGTTTGATTATACTGATTGGACTTATGAAAGCCACACACTTGCCACTGTCGCCTTGCTTTTGGCTTGCTTTGAGCTTGCTCAGTTGGGGTTATTTATTTAGTGTTTAGCAATGTTGTTGATCTGTGTTGTGCTACTTACATGTTATCACTGTGAAGCTGCTTTGATACAATCTGTATTGTGAAAAGCGCTATATAAATAAATGTGACTTGACTTGACACACCTGTCTATATAAGACCTTACAGCTCACAGTGCATGTTAGAGCAAATGAGAATCATGAGGTCAAAGGAACTGCCTGAAGAGCTCAGAGACAGAATTGTGGCAAGGCACAGATTTCTGCTGCACTTAAGGTTCCTAAGAGCATAGTGGCCTCCATAATCCTTAAATGGAAGACGTTTGGGATGACCAGAACCCTTCCTAGAGCTGTGTGTGTGTGTGTGTGTGTGTGACAATTGTAGGTTACAGTGTGACAAAAGCACAATGTAGTGTTTTATTGCAAGTATAAGCCTACAGAAATATAAGTAAACACTTTGCAGACTAAATGTTGTCCTGTATGAACAAAATGGTGGAGTATGTTTTTATGTCTCCACTGTTCAATCATGCCTGCGTGTCTCTCTCTCAAACACACATCGATCATGCCCGTGCCTCTCTTCTCTCTCGCGCGCACCGCCCTCCAAAAAAACTTCACGTAAATTACCCAATTGACCAAGAAAACAGCGATTGTCGCCGAAAAGCACCAAGTTTGCAGGTCTGGCGGTGACTGACAGCCTCACAGTCTCCTAAAACATTGTGTTCATATGCACTGTGGTGTGTCGAGGGTGTTGAAGTACAACTCACGTAAAGTTCAATTGCAGATTTCATACAGAGATGGTGACAAAGAGGAAAAACAGCAGACAGCAGCTTTGAAGGGTTAGATCACCCAAAAATGAAAATTGTCATTTACTCACCATCATGCCATCCAAATCTGTACAAGTTTCTTTCTATTGTTAAACACAACAGATAGTATTTTAAAGAATGTTGGTAAACAGACAGTTTGGTAGCCATTGATTTTTTTTACCACTATGAAAGTCAATGGCTAGCATTAACTGTCTGTTTACCAGCATTCTTTACAATTTCTTTTTGTGTTGGACAGAAGAAAGAAACTCATAAGTGATCAAATTTTAATTTTTGGTTGAACTATCCCTTTGATCAGTATAATCTAATCTTTTCTCTGTTCTAAAGGACTTTGTTCCCGAATTTTAACAGATGTTCTTACCTTCCATCAAGTTCCCTCACAGCATCAGCCGCATCTCTGGCGTCCTCAAACTCCACAAAAGCAAAGCCGGGTGGATTTCTGGCCACCCATACGCTCCTCAGTGGACCATAGTAGCCAAATGCTCTCTCCAACTCAGTCTTGTTACCAGTGTTGCCCAAATTACCAACGTAGACCTTGCAATCCAGTGGACAGTCGCGGCTTAGGGAAGGGTCTACGAGAGGGAAAAAGGTTTAGTTAAGTAATTTCTATGTTCTGTATTATTAGTTGTCATACGTCTATCCCACCTTTTTTTAAGAAAAAAATGGCAATAAAATGGCTCATAAATAGGGTGGATTTTAGTAAAAATGTAATAAAGACGTAAGTTACCTCCCATGTCTTCACCAATTCCGAACTAAACTCCACACCTAAAAAACTGCAAGAAATAAGACCATAGCGCCGATATTATAAATACGCAATCAAAACTGGTTGATAAAAGCATTAACTATTACCTTTAATGTGTAACTTAGCACAATCAAAATTGTAACTACTGAGAGGCTATATACATTTGGAAACAATGAAAACGCTAGCAGCTAGCATGCAACACTGGATCACTCACAGGAGTTCTGGAGCTAATTAAAATGTAGCTATATTTATAAGAAAAATAAAATACAAACATACAAACGATAGTAAAACTGTTTGAAGGGAGCCAGTGTTTTAACATTCAAAGTCTAGCTCAATTTAAAGCAAGCAGATTGTTACACAATACATTCATGTAGCTACCAAGCTAAAAGGCTAAAGCGTTTACAGGCCTACACGACACGGCATTAAAGCAATAACAGCATATCATACTGCTTAAATGAGCAAACCCGTCTACATTAATAAGTTATACGCGCATTATGCATTTACTCGAGGTAACTTAATAACTAAGGTTTCGTTTTCTTACCGGTAAATCAGCTTTGTTTCCGTTAACGAAATCGAAAACGCAGCACAGCTACTAAACACCTCGTTGCTAACGCGCGCTAAGTAACCACGACAGGCCCTCGCTCGCGAGCTAATCTACATGTAGCACTTCCGGTTCTCTTCATCAACACGGACGTCAAATGAAAAGCTCTCATGCCTAAACAATATAGGATGTGCGCTACATTTCTTCTCTTTAAACCGCCATCACACACCTGAGATAACAATATTTAAATGCGACATGGAAGTGTCTAATGATGATAGGTCAGTAGTTATAAATAGCCTACCACACCGTACATTTGTCTACTCGGCAGAATATTCAACATTGTTTTTATTAGTTAGAAATAATTTACTAATAATTTTAATATTTTTATTCATAAATACATTTGTGTAGCCTATGTATATGCCTACTGTTTATATATATATATATATATATATATATATATATATATATATATTCTAGGCTACATTGTTTATATGATACACACACATATTATTATTAGTAGTAGTAGTATTTTGTTATTTTGGTGGTATGAGCTATAATTGATATTATGACCCTTTAATTGGCAAAATATGGGGTCATACTTGTGTCAGATCCTCAATAACTCATTTAGGCGAAATCTAGGGGCCAAAAGTTCAGCCTTTGTTTTGGATTAAGTAAACACCAGGGGAGTTATGTAACACGGCTGCCTCGTATTCAAATAAAGAGCATTACGCTGCCTGCCTTTATTTTTGTCTCACTAGGCACAGGCAGGTCAGTAAGTATGCATGTAGCCTATGTTTACATACCTCACCCTTTATACTCCATCTCTTCTGGGGTTTTGTCATTTATATTTATTGTTATACTCACGTAATTTTGAAACAGCATCCCATTGAGAAACCAACATATATTTTCCTCATTCTTATGTTCCATGTATATTTGTCTGCAAGACAATGTGAATTGATCTGTTACCACACACGGCACAGAATGGTTTTTTTTTTTGCCCAGATTAGTACTGCACATTCTGTTCTGTTTTTCTTCCTGATGACTGGTTAGCCTCTCATGAACCCTCCCTCTCACTCTCCAATAAAAGCAAGATATACAAAGAACAGACACACACACACACACACACACACCTTTGGTTTGACATTGTTGATAAATACTTGCACTCACATACAATGAAATTACACTGATAATACATTTCATGGATTTAATGGAAAGCTTATTTTTCAAACATTTCATCAAAAAATTCATCTTACAGGTAGAGAATACTTCTATATTATGTTTCATTAGAGCATGTAAGAGCACCATGACAAGAAGACCTTGGAATGCAGACTGTCAATGGGAAGAACCACAAGAAAGGGTTCACTCTTCTTCTTTAGACATGGTTTAATACAATTCATGATCTTACATAGACTTCCTATCCAACTAAAGCTGTTTTCTTCTGTGAACTAGTTGTACCCCCTAAATGTATCATTATTTGTATTAAAATATTTTTTGTTTGCATATGAAGGGATATTATTGCACATTTATTATTGCAAAGTGAATTTGGTTGGAATTTGTGTTTGTGCCAAAGTCAAAAACTTAAAGAGAATGTTCTAAATGAAAAGATAAAGAGAAGACAAGAAACGTTGTCACGACAACAGAAAAAGCTGCATCATTTAATTGACAGAACCATATAGTGAAAAAAGAAACACAAGCTTGCATAAAACTATAATTCTTAAACAACTGCCAAGGATAAGCAAATGCATAGGCTATTTCATCTTTTTTATTATTATTATACTTTTTTTATTACCCAACCTCTTAATGAAATACATCATATTTCAAAGCTATACAAACATTTCCTGTTTTTGTCAAAGTTGCTTTATAGAATGCATGTATATAGAAGGTTATAAAAGACTATTACCTCTCGCTTTTTCCTATATACATTCAGGCGAATAAAAACAGTAATCCAAAACGTTTGTATTAAATGTAGTGGTTGTAGGCTGAAAACAGACGACGCGTTTGTCAACCAGGTTTGTCAAGTTCAGTACGATTTCTTACCTCCGTTGCGCAGATGAGTCAATTTTCCACCAGAGTCTCCACCGCACGTGCCACTGTGAACTAGAACATTTAGTTCTTGACGCACGGACCTATTGATCTGAGAATCCAGTGGATAAGCGAACAGGACTATTCTCTTGACTGTTACCAAAAACAAACAAAACAAAAAAAATCGACATTATTTGACGACCAGGTGAAGCTCCTATCACTCCTTATTGCATGCAGTTCTTTTATTCGCTTTGCACAATCCCCAGTATCATTAAATGTTGTTTAATTTATCATTGACGTGCATGGAGCCATGCAGCTGTAACTGCTAAAAGTATACAGCCAAATTTTGTTAAATTTGGTCATATCTTCCGTAAGATTGTATAGCCTACAAAAATAGGAATTATTTGAAAAAACTTTCATTTGTGCCATTATAATGTCTTTTATTTATACATTGATTTAAATAATCATGGGACCTCTTGAGTGTTTTGCATCACAGTGCAGATTATTGATAGTCTCTCTACACATCTAAATCAGCGTGGTGTAATAGGCTACACTGCACGTGCCCTTCAGCAAGGGGTGGAAAAAGAACAGAGAAGTTGTACTTATGAAAGTAGCCTATATGGGTTTGTGAAAGTGTGATGCTCAATTTAAAGTCAGAGTCTAACCAAAAATGAGCCAAGATTAATTGCAGGCCTGCTTGAATATTTAAAAGTTAAAAAATTTGTATTATTATTTTAGTTTAAATCGCACCCTAGAACACACCAGATGCTTATTTAAACCCTAAGACCTGTCACTTTACATGTTTGTCTTAATTATAACAAAAATGTGCTCTGCAGATAATGGACAAGTGTAGTATAGCCATGTATAGAACAGTATACATTTTTGGACATATACCACTTAAATTGTGGAGGTATCTGATTTTACAACATTACGACATTGATTTGTTTGACGCACTAATTATTTATAAGCTAATTTAAACTCGCACAATTCCCCTGTCCTTGTTCATGCACTTTTATTTTGATATTCTTTTGTCTTGAATTGCCTGTGTTCAGTTCCTGTGTGTTTAGCTCCTGTTTCCTTGGTTACCTTAGTTATTCATTGATTAGTGTCTTACCTGTTCCTCATCATGTGTATTTACTCATTTATCTTCTGTTCTTTGTTTTGTGTTGACATTTGGTTCATGATATTTCTTAAATGTGATTTAATCGTTCATATGCATCAAGCCTCTTTGAATCTGGATTATAAATTCAAGCCAGCACGTAACACACACATACAAAATAGGATATGATATGCTAATTAGTTATTCAATTTTTAATCTCCAATTTTTCAACTATGCTAATAAATTAAATCTGATTAATGCAAACATACTAGAAATTAAGTGACTGGTTGTGATGGGCCAGCACTATTCATTCATTCATTCATTCATTCCTTAATTGCTCTGCAAATGTGGGGATGTGTCAAAATTATATTCAGTGGTTAACCACAAGCAGAGGTTTTAGATCTAAATCTCTACCTAAAATATTGCTTAAATTAGTTTATATAGTGTAGTAACACTTTAAGAGTAAATACATTTTTCCTGAATGAAATTTGCAAACTATTTTCATTTCATTTTTTTTCTGCAAATGAAACCACAACGGGCTGTTTACCTCTGACAGAAGAAAACCTTAATCATATTCTGAATCACAACAAAGCCTTTAGTCAAGGATGTCATTTTTTTAATCACCAAATGCCAGTAGGCATATATTGAAAACATGACCACAAATGTTTTTTTTTAACATTTAATTTCCATGTCAGAATCGTGGAGGAAAAAATGCTGATGATGAATTAAATTATTATAGAGAGCGATTTTGATCTGCTAGATATGATAACTGAACACGAACAGGAAAAAAGGTCAAACAAGTTTACATGGAGTGTCCCCACTTGGACCTTGTTAGCAGCGTGACATCCTGATCTGAATCCTTATCCTTGAAAACCCCCCACTTGTTTTCTTGTGCCATCAGTACTGAGCAGTTTCACATTATAAGCTCTGTCGCAGATCCCTGCTGCTAAGATACCAAACGGAGGAAGCAATCTACTCTTTTCCATGCAATAGCTTAATAATCATATAAGCTAAAGGTCTGCTGACATAACATTAGAGATATGTGACTTTAATTCAGTACTTTTTGGCACATTTGACAATGTATGTATTCTAAATATGTCAATATTACAAATCAATCAAATAATAATAAAAAAAAGAGCTAAATAGCGTTTCTCTGGAATGGATTAACATATCTGCAGAGAATCTTTAATAAACAGAGCCCATCTGTTCTGACACACATACTCTTGATTAACTATCCATCTGAAATGATTATTAAAAAAAACAGGCTTGAAAAGGGAAACCAATCCCTTTAAATGAAGATAATCATATGCCATTGTGTTCCTGCTGACACCTCTTGTTGCTCTGGTGAATGAATCGGGAACATTTTGTTACAGTTCCAGTCTGAGAGGTTTTTGAGGCAGGTAACATGTTGCCCAGTGCTGCTGTTATTCAACATTTGGCATACTAACTTTAAAGGTTGGATTTGAATATGAATTTAACAATTTATTAATTATAATTTATATTTAATCATTCTGTGTAAATAAAATCCAAATAATTTATTGAAAATTCTGCATAGCTTTAAATGTCGATTGTTACAACTGTCTGGCATCATCTTCAAACAGAAAAAAAAAAATCTTTACACACTTCAAAAATTAGTTTTGACTTTAAACGGAAATGATTACAAATAGGCTATTCTTTAATTAAAAACTGTTAAATGGTTACAATACAAAGTGAAATATATTTATTTAGCAGACAATAAATGTAATTTTACTGTAAAAAACTATAATGTATGGAAGTCAAAAGTAGGCATATTACTTAATGATTTGAAAATGACATTGGAAATGTGAAAATATGATGTGAAAATCTATATTACATTCAACAAAACAATAGATGTAGGTTACAGTGTGTTTCAAAACAAACAAAAAAGTTTCCATAAAAAGCCAAGAGAAAGGACAGAGACCATGGGGCATAACATTTGATTATATTTTATTCAAATAATAAAGTTTGATTTTGGTAACCAGTTAAACAGATTAAAGCTATTAATATTTAATAACTATTAATATTTAATATTTATTATAGACACGATGGAAGCTTTCTGATGAACATTAATTCATCATGTGTTTTTTCATCATCACCTAGGCCTATAATATTATGGTAAGTGTAAAATATGTGGAAATGCATCCATTAATTACCATGTATCCATGTATTTTCTCCATGTATTTTATTCATGTATTTTTATCCATGTATTTTCCCAGTCCATTTCTTTCAGCTTTCAATTTTACCGTAATTATTAGGCTATTATTTATTTATTTCGCAATGCATCATATCACTTTAAACCTACACGTTTTTAAAAATAATATAGTCGTGTTGTTCTTTCCGCGTATCGCTGTGCTCTGACTGTGTGGTTGTACATGCTGTTCCCAACTTGAGCTGTTCAGTCAGCACACAACGGGTTACGGGTCAGGGTGTCTACTAGGACACTGTGTTCTCATCAGCGCGAGCTACAGTACAGCCGGAACATTGTGTTACTTTGTGGACAGTTTCCAAGGCCTGCCCTTAATTTTTACACTACATTGCCCTCCCCCCGCGTTTACTCCTCCTCCTGTAGTTTCATTTCATTTCCCCTGTCCAAATGTCTCGTAGAGGCGTATCGTGTTGATGATTACTGGTGTGGAGAAGTGTAAAACACTGTCGGTAGAACATCTAGTACTCTCGCGCTGAGAGGGCGGGCTTATTCCTCTTTAAGCCGCTAGGCACAGGTTGTATTCGCCGGTAAGACTGAAGTTGTAAACGGACGGATATATGGTCAAACACATGAGAGGGACGGGCAACAAAAGGGAAATATTGTAAGTCTAGATTTGATGCTTGTTTTGTTTCTATATCCATCACATTTACTACCTTTTATAGTTAAGACAGCTTTCTATGGTGACTATAATAGAAAAAAGCCTGTTTTCTCATTGTGCTATGCATTTTCTCCTAAAACCAAGTCAAATATCGCCTTATGACCTTTTATTGTTAAAATAAAATGAATGGATAAATACTAATGCTGGAAAGAATTTAATTTGCATATTGCAATGTGTTTAGCAGCCTGTAGTTGCGTCTGAGATGTCTGAGATGTGTGGAGCTAACTGAGAGGAAACGAATCGATAGAACGAGAGAACTCATTGAATTTATATTTCTTTACTTTGTGTAGCCTACACAGTTTCCTTACTATTTCACAGAGCCTCTTTCTCATGAATCCATCAAAGGCACAAAGACAAGAAAATGAGAAATAGGCTTATGTTTCTACCTTTCCCTTTTTTACTTTTAGATGTGACTCCTCAGGTTTTTATATTTTTGTAAAGGATGTCACTTCATGTCCCCTACTTGCCGTTATACCTACTATCACTGACCAGATACGGCTCAGAACTTTACGCTTCTCTGCTTCAACCATATTTTCATAGATTCTGTTTAACTGTGTAACTTGTTTTTTATTGTAAATGGAAAGTTGATTCTTGTGACTTTAACAAGCACAGAAAATCCCTTTTTGTTGTGGCATAACCACGTATTTAGGTCTGTGACGGCCGAATATGATGATTTCAGAATTTAACATTATCCAGAATGAACGTTACGTTAACCATCATCTGAATATTGGGGTTTGATTGATTTCCTTCATTGTCTACTTGAGTCACACCCTTGATTTCAGTGGCAGAGACTGAAAACCCACCATTCTCTACAGATAATTACATTTTGATGTTTACCATTTACGACAGTGTGTGTGTCATCAGTGTAGAAAGAGTTTGGGTGTCTGACAAGGTGATTAGCTAGGAATCTGTGAGTGCACGGTGTGCTTGAATGCGGACGGTATGTTCAAGGATGGAATGAGTCAACTGTCTCTGAAAGCTCATCTTTGTAACAGGAATGCCTGTTGCAATCTCCCCACACTGCGGACATCTGAGACGGAGCTCCAATAAGAGCTTAGAGAAGTCACACCACCTTTAATGAGTCGATCACTGGAGAGAAAGTCTTAAGGACAGTTGGCTGGAAAAGCATGAAGAGATAGCCTGGCATAGAGCCAAACAGACAATGACAGACCAGTATGAATTGAGATATAGACAGATGAGTTATCAAATGAGTGGTCAGTGAATAAAACAGACACGCAAAGTTAATAAATGCAACAATTAGTGAAGTACAGTACACAATTTCAGGCTTTTTATGCAAGTGCACATAATCTTTACGTTTTATGGCTGACTTTTAAGTAAGATCTATTAGAGGAACTTCATAAAATTTGATTCCAAGATTGATTTTTTTAGAAGCACTCAGTTGTTAGAATTTAGGATCAGAATTGAGTTAAATTTGTTAACGTGCAAAGCAGAAAAACACACTAACAACACCAGAGACGTTTTTACGTAGCATTTTTTGTAGTTAATGTTTAACAACATCAAATTTGTTTCAATTACAGTGAAAAGGCTTCCAAAGCTGTTTAATCAAATTGCAATTGTTTTTGTGGCTCTCGTTGACTTACATGTTCACGGCCTTCATCTTAGGTTTTTAGACTAACTCGTGCTCAAAGAATGATACATTTCCACAGCAATGCTGTTAGCTAGGACAGTAGCAGACTATTTCTTTAGATGCGTCACATAGTCTGGACTCTTAATTTTCACTCTGACATATTCCCTTTCCAAGACATAAACCATAAACTCACATCAGTAAGGTGAATATTTGTGATGAATATATTATACTTTCAATGCAAAAAAAATATGTTAGGTACAATGATCAGTTTGGCACAGAGCTGTCTGCTTTCAAGTTAAGTCCCTGAAACAATAGACATGGATATTTCTGTTGTTGTCTTTATTTAGGCATGTGCTCTTATGGATTAATATAACTTTTCTCGAAATGTATACATTTCCTGTAACCTTCTGTGTTTTGTGTATAGAAACAAAAGGAAGGTCTTGGATTGAGAGCCTTGAGTCATTGTAATATCTCATCGCCTCAAGTAACGTGGACCGGACTGAATGTTCCCTTCTCCGTTCTGTTTTCTTCCTGTGCCTTTTTAGTTTTACTAGGTTTACTGACATAAATCTCACTAGACATCCTTCTCTAGAATCTGAACTTGTTCCAGGAACATAGAATAAAAGGAACATAGTGTTTCGTCGCACACGTACACAAGATTTAGTGCACACACACACACACACACACACACACACACAGGGACCAACTAACAATTTTTCTAGGAAGAAAAACAAAACAGTTAAGGCAATCTTGTGAAAAATGTTACAAACACAACGATACAATCATATGTGTAGAGTCACATTTGATTTGAATGGATAGTATTTAAGCTCGTGCTATATTTAACCTTTGAGATGTTATTATTATGTGTAAATAGATTTTTTTAGGTTTGATATAAAAGGACAAAAACATGCCAGTATCACATAAGAAGGATTACAACATATTTTTGTATGAAAATACCCCATATGAGGAAATTTAACTACAAACATTTGCATTTGTCTGAAGATAGCAGTGCCTTATAATATTTGTTTAAGATAAAAAAGTCAAATATTGTTTGTATGTTGTTTTTAGGGGATCACGGGTATGTATGAGTGGCGAGATGTCATCTTTAGAGGATATCTTTTCCACTAACCAGTGCCCAACTGCTGTCTTTACCTCCCAAGGCACAGATGTCACTACAAACGGTGACCGTGGAGTATGTAAGGTAACCCAGTCATTACTAACTATGTATCACAGCTGTTAGTTTACAATTTCTGTATAGTTGTAGCCATGAATGATACAGTGGGGCCAAAATGTCTGCAACCACTAGTCAAAAAACAACAACAAAAAACCCAACCCTTTCATTTAAAATAAATATGAGGTATAGTGTAAGGATGGATTGTTCACTTTTTTCTCCCTCTACAGATTGTGAAACAGCATGGTGTGGAGGGGGAAAGGCCGATGATTGGGGACAAGGTGTTTGTCCACTACACAGGCAGACTACTCAATGGAAAGAAGTTTGACTCTAGCCTAGACCGCAAGGAGCCTTTTGTTTTCAATGTGGGAAAAGGTAATAGATTTTATAGATTTATTTTACATATTTAATTTTGTATTTTTTTGTATTTAATTTTTTCAATTAAAAATGAAACATTTTTATTGAAACAAATACTGTGTTGCAAGAGAGAAATGTATTCTTTAATGAAAGTAATCCACTGTGACAAATGGATAGACAGATAAATCATTAGCCTATATGTGCTATGCTATTACATGTATATTAGCATATACATTAATTATACATTTATTGGCCACTGTTTAGCGTACAATTATTTGGCTCAACTTAATGCAGTTGTGGACAGTTCCACGCATTGCGTTTTGATAGATTTCTTAACTTAAATTAAACTGCCAACTCTACTCAAATACCTGAAGGAGAAACCCAAGCTTAACGGAGTAAGCCTTAATAAAATTTTAGACTAAAAAAGACTTTAGTCGTAAGACTTTAGATTAAAAGACTTTAGTCACATTACCCCCCACACATAATATACTTTATTTAAACATTTGCATTATCCAGTCCCATGCAAAGCATCTTGAATAATCTGCCAGTTACAGTAACAAAACATACAGTATATAAATTATTAATGTAGTCCCACACAAATAAGTAAGCTTTTATTTTGCACTTTAAATCAACTACAACTACAAATTAAGTTCAAGAATTGGGCTGTATTAGTTCATTTTTAAGTAAATTAAGAAAGCGCCAAATCAAATATAATTTGTACGTTTTGTAATAGATGACATGTTTATTAAAAAAGAAAACATCATCTAAATGTCAATATTTCATTAGTACTCTGTCATAAGTGTTTGTTAAATGGAACAGTCATGGAACCTGACAATTTCTTTCAACATTTCTCACTTAAAGGGTCACTTCACCCATTTGCATTAAGCTTTGTATCTTTAGAATATACAAATATTTTATATAATATTAGTATATTTTATTTATAGTGTACAAATATTAGTCATATTTGTGAATGGTCATGGTTTATTCCCTTATTTTCCCCTGAGATGGGAGAAATAAGGATTTAAGTGTTTTACTTCCTGCTTATAATAACGTAAAATCGTCATTTTGCGTCACAATAAGCAGGAATTCATATTTCGTTAAAATCTGTATAGACTACAAACATTAGCTCATTATTATTCAAGGGTGTGGGACCAACTCACCCTACAGGCCTATTACAGATCAGTGGGTGGGGCTTCACTTGCAGATACTGAATCAATATCCGCCATCTTGTTTGGAAGCTAAGCTAACAAGCGCTGTGGAGATAGGAAGTATGATAATGATGGAAGAAACTAAACATGAAATGGAAGAAGAGGATTTTGAAAGTCTGCTACTCAAATCCGATGTTCGTGGCTATATTTACGAGTCGCAGTGTAGTGAAGAGCAGCTGAGGCTGATGGAGGAACAGGAGGCGGCTGCCTGTCGCGGTCGAGGAGCCCGGACTGGGTCAAGCTGGGCAGATTGCTGTTGCCTGTACTCTTGCTGCGTGCTACGGCCTACGGACACAGAGTCCGTCTGCTGCAGAGAATTTCAACGATGGCAATTTCTCCTGGAGGAAATCCCTGAATCAGAAGAGCACGGACGTTTGTGTTGTGATAGTTTCGCCTGACAGAACATCCAGGTATCATGCAGTAATTCACCATATAGAAATAAATACAAACGAGGAGTAATTCACTAATGAGTTTGCCAATGTAATGTTTACGGGGTTTGTTGTTGTGGGAAGGAGGCGGCAGGAACCGGCGAACATTTAAACATTTTAATAGTATAATGAACAAATACAAAACAAAAGTATGAGCCAGCAGCCCCTCATTGACGACTGCTGTAAAGTTACACACAACAGAAACAAAACAACATAAAATCAGGCCTGTTTCTCTCTCGATCTGCCGTCGTCGCTGCTCATTTTATGCATTCACTCCTCCGTAAGAGACGCGAGACCGGCACGCCCCTCACAGGTATCTTTCATTATCACTTATGACACCGGCCTCGCGCGGCGCGACGTCCTCTTACTTCCCTCGCTCTCGATCATCCTGCTTGCCACAGCCAACTAGACATTTTGTGTGAAATGAATTTCAAACTCTGGTGACAGCTAACGTTAGCCTTGTAGACGAGTCTACTCTCTGTTTGCGCTGTTCTGGATTAGTGAGTGTGGCTTGCGGAGCTGTGCAATGCGGTACATTGTGGGACTTGTAGTCTTTCATACAAATGCGCCCCTTGGGTATTTTCTGTCTTTTCTCGGTCAAGAGGGCACCAAATAAAAAAAAAATCTTTTACATTTCGACTACATATATGATCCACTTTCAATAAAGATTAATGTTGCAATGGGTGAAATGCTCCTTTAAGGGCAGGGCTGAAAATCCTGTTTAATGATGTTTGTGGTTTAAGAGGTGTAATTACTGGTGTTGTTTAGACATGTGGTGCCTCCCTTATTATCTGCCTTTTCTTTCCTAAAGAGACAATTTGTCATAAATATGTTAACAGAAATGATTTGCTATGAAAATGAGCCACAAACAAATTTTTTGTTTAGTTTTTGAAATTAAAATACTGCACTATTCAGTGTTTTTCAGTATTTGTGGATTATGAAGATTTACTATTAAATATTTATTTATAATAAGTACTTTAAATAAAACAGATATATAAAAAATAAGAAGTATTTACAGTTACACTTTATTTTAAGGTGTCTGTGTTACAGTGTAAGTATACATTTAAGTACTGAGTAATAATAATAAACTACTGTTTTTACAATAATAAATAATGAACTAATGTATTTACTAGGCTTAGGGTTAGGATTTGATTTAGGGTTAGTTGCATTATGCATAATTTATAGTTATTAAAACTGTAACTACATGTAACATGTAACAAGGACACTGTAAAATAAAGTGTTACTGATAAAGTTATTTAAGTTACTTACATTTATCTTATAATGGCAAAACATTCACAATAGTAATGAATTCATAAGTAGTGTCTTCACACAGGTCAGGTCATCAAGGCGTGGGATATTGCTGTGTGTTCCATGCAGAAAGGAGAGGTGTGCCTGATGCTCTGTAAGCCTGAATATGCGTACGGTTCAGCTGGCAGCCCACCAAAGGTTCCTCCCAATGCCACACTTGTGTTTGAGGTAGGAACATCAAGCACTTAAAGTGTAACTTCAACGATTTTTTATCCCGCTTTGTTTTGTCGAGGTCAGCAGGGTGTTATTAACAGAACAGTTATCAAGGCTAGGTTTATAACTGAAAAATGTGTCACAGTTTGTCTACTTTTTAAAGGTCCCGTATTATGCCCCTTTTCACAAGATGTAAAATAAGTCTCTGATGTCCCTAGAATGTTTATGTGAAGTTTCAGCTCAAAATACCCAACAGATCATTTTTACAGCATGTTTAAATTGTCATTTTTGGGGGCTCAGAAAAACGCGTTGTTTTAGTATGTGCCCTTTAAATGCAAATAAGCTGCTAAGCTGCACAGGGGGCGGGGCTTCATGAGCTCACGCTCAGTCTTTCACAGTGTTGCCAACTTAGTGCCTTTTCAGACCCCTTTAGCGACAAAAAAGCGACTAGCGACAATTTTAGCCACTTTTTGGACAAACCTCAATAACCTCCAAAATAATGTTGCCAGTACAGTCTTTCTCTGTCGTCACTCTCTCAAGCTGCGTCTCCCCTGTTCAGTTAATGGCTGAGAGGAGCATACGGCTGCTGACAGAGGCGAATAAGCAGTGTTTTTCCACGGACTTATCACTTATCTGCTTTTCTTTTGTTTGATATTTAAAGAATTTAGTTTGAACATTTTCATTTTATTTCTATTCTTGTGCTTGTTATTACCCTAACACACTATCACATACAGTAGCTTAGTTCATCCTGTTCTCTAACTCTCTCAATTCAGATAATGTTCCACATAGGTCTATAAAAAAATTAATCATTCACTATATTATAGTTACTCATTCTATTGTCTGACAACAAAAAAGATAGGAAATGAAAACAGCTTTATTTGACATTCGCCCTATATTATATTAAAAGAGCATTAATTTAGAGAAAATACACTAGGCTGACAGAACGCAAGTACGACGTGATGACATCATTAATATGCTAATTGGTGTATGATGTCATCTAGCGACATTTAGCGACTTTAAGGGAAGACCTTAGCTACTTTCCTTAGAAAATAGTTGGCAACAGTGGTCTCTCAGGACAATTTCATCGCACAGAATGATGTTAATATCAGAAACTCTCAGTAACAGTGTTCATTTCGAGTCGGACAATAATGCCTACAGAGGCAGAGTGCTGTGTATCTCTATGGAACAGGTATAGTTTAGTAGTTTAATTATGGTGATTATAACATATTCGTCATCTGCTTGTATGTATCCATTATTTATTAATAGCCTACAAGTCTGTTTCGGACCAGATCTGAATGATTAAGTTTATTGTACATCACACAAAAGATGAAGCGTCAGTTTTACTTCAGAAAAAGAGCAGTAAACACAGTAAGTTATAAGAAGTGCACAAGTTGAGGGAGTTGAGGGGGCATTCCTGTGGGCGGACGTTAGTCAAAAAGCTGTTCTACTGTGACATCATTAAAGAAGGAAGTAGAGGGATGTAGTCCGTTCGATGTAGGCTACTTCTGTTAAATAAAATATCTCGCTTGGCATTGAACTTTGAGCTTTATAATTTTACAGATATTATTTATACTCTAACAACAACATTACACACTAACTGAAGTTTGAAACATGGGATCACGAAGAACGGGACCTTTAAACAGAATTATGGTAAAAGTGAAACAGTATGGCAACAGCTTACCTGTATGCTACTAAGAGGTATTTCCTACTAAAGCATGGCAGTATTTGATTTTGCGTATCCAACAGCAGACTGGTGGGAGTGGCCGTGTGCATTATGGGTGTTGAAAATTTTCTAACTATTTGGCAAAAGGGAAGACAACAGCATTTTGTCTGTTTTCTCTAGTCAGATAGGACTGATTTGACACTTTTTACTTGTTTCCCTTTCTACTGCATTGGCGACAGTGAAGTACCCCTGTAAATAAACTTTTAATTAGCTTTGAAAATATCTTGAAGAGTTTGTAGAGAATATATTATTGGTGTTTCTTCTTTAGCCCTGGATACTCCTGGCTCTGTGGACATTTAGAAAGTGTTTTTTATGTGACTTTAATATAACAAAAAGTTGAAATGTGGTATTTATTAAAAATCATCCCCTGGGACATAAAAGTGCCTGAAATTGAAGAAACACATGGTTATATTTCTCTCAAAGTTATTACATTTAAAAGTACAAATGGTTTTGCTTCCCACAATTAGATAGAGCTGCTGAGCTTCAGAGGGGAGAAGATTACAGAAGATGGTGGGATCATGAAGAGAATAAAGGTCAAAGGTGAAGGTTATAACAGTCCAAATGAAGGGGCCACTGTCCATGGTAAGTCTGAGAATTATTAATATTCATAATATGTTGCAAATCTTTGACAATGCGTTTGGATACAATTCTGTTTGGTTTCTGTGCCTTAGTACACTTGAACGGGTGGTGTGGAGGTCGGTTATTTGAGTCTCGGGATGTCACCTTTGTTGTGGGTGAATCAGAGGACATGGGGGTTCCTTTTGGAGTGGACAGGGCCATGGAGAAAATCCAAAAGGGCGAATGCTGTTTATTATACTTAAAGCCCCGGTAAGAATTGCCATTCTGTTCAGGTTTTTAAATATTTACTAAATATTTAATTTTTAATAAGAGCTGGATTATTTTTTTGGTATATACTGTTCGGAAAAAAAAAACAGTTTATATAATAAAATATAATATGACTATCGCCATCTTAACTCAGTTAAGGTGTGTTATGCTTTCAGGTACGGTTATGGCAAAGAGGGTAAAAAAGAATATGACATTGGATCAAATGCAGAACTAGTTTATGAAGTGACACTGAAGGACTTTGAAAAGGTGAGATATTTCATTTTAGACCTATATTATTTAGTAAAAGCTTTCTGAATGCTCCCAAAGCTCAATGAAAGATAGAATGATCATTCAGTAGGGCCGCAAAAAAAATCAGAAGCTGCGTTAATTGCATTTTATATTTTTTATGCATTAAACTGTAAGACAAATGTATGTATGAAGTATATACAATATAAATAATAATAAAGTATTTAATCATTGTTTTATTGATTTAAAAATTAAGTTTTCAAACATGCCTATCTTTGAAAAAGGAGTGGAAAATACCAGAATACAGTTAAAGTGAGCCCTCTAATGTTCATAGAAAGAACTGACAGAAAACCTAAAAATACAAAATTGACAATTCCTCATGTTTCAGGCCAAAGAATCCTGGGAAATGGACCTTAATGAGAAATTGGAACGTGTTGTTTTAGTCAAACAAAAAGGGACGCAGTATTTCAAGGTTTGTCTACACTTTTGTCTTTACTATATGGTTAGTGGTTACATGCCTATTTTTGCCCACAAAGTTGTTTTTATATTATAGGCATTTAGTAGTTACTTTTATAATACTAAATATATAAAACTAATAATAAATGTTATTAGTAAGATTAATATATGCAGTGCTGGTCAGGATTATTAATACGATCAAAGATGGCTGTAAAAATTAAATGCTTTTTGCAACCTCCTTATATATAATGCCTGATGAGTTTGAAGAGCACTTGACAAGAGACCAGAGACCATTCCTCCATACAGAATCTCTCCAGGTCCTTCAGATTCCCAGGTCCATGTTGGTGCTTCTTCTTTTCAGTTCAGCCCACTCATTTTCAATAGGGTTCAAGTCAGGGGCTAGGATGGCCATTGCAGATGCATGCTTTTGTGCTCAGTGACCCATTTCTGTTTTTTTATTTTGATGTTTGTTTTTGGATCACTGTCCTGTTGGAAGATCCAACCACGGCCCATTGTAAGATTTCTAGCAGAGGCTGTCAGGTTTTGATTTTTTTTTATCTGTTGGTATTTGAACGAATCCATGATGCCATGTCTCTGAACAAGATGTCCAGGACCTCCAGCAGAAAATTAGACCAACAGTATTAAAGATACAGCAGAGTATTTAATTTTACACATGGGCTACTTTTATCCCTGTGTGCACCAAACCCATCTTAAGTGTTTGCTGCCAAAAAAGCTTTTTGTTTTGTTTTGTTTTTGTTTCATCTGTTTCATCAGATAGGGAATCTGGAGAGATTCTGTATGGAGGAATGGTCTCTGATCTCTTGTCAAGTGTTCTCCAAACTCATCAGGCATTATAGGAGAAGACTCAGAGCTATTATCTTGGAAAAAAGAGGTTGCAAAAAGTATTTAATAAAAGAGGGCAAATAATTCTTCCCAATGTGTTTTGGAGAAAACATTTATTTCATAATTTTCCTCCCACTTTCAATTGTTTTACTTCAGTCAATGGTTAGATTTTTTTCATTTTTTTTTTAAACAATAGAGATTTATTTTTGACAGCCATCTTTGATTATTTGATCATCATTACCAAGGGGGCAAATAATTATATATATGTATATATATAAATGTACAACATGTTGAATTTATAGTGTTTATAATAATATTGGTTATTTAGAATAATATATTATTCTATTTTTACACATAAATATACACATTTACATATATATTGTCATAGTCTGTCTTGTCTCTGCCTCTTCACTACACTTCCCAGCATCCCTTGTCTACACATCTGATTGTCATCATCCTTGTCACCTGTGTTTTTGTTTGATCATCATATGTGTCACCTGGTTTTGTTAATGTCATGTCTATGTTTAGAGTATTCGTTTGTAGTACCGCGAGTTATCCTGCCTGTTTGTACCTGCCTGAAGTTTCTTTATTAGTAAAAGTACACTCTAAAAATGCTGGGTTGTTTTAACCCAACTTTGGGTCAAATACGGACAAACCCAAACATTGGGTTAAAAATGTAATTAAAAAAAATTAACCCTTTTTCTAGGGGTTAAATTAAAAATTTTCCTTTTTCTGCCTGCACCATGCTGTGACATATATATATATATATATATATATATATACAAACATATGCATATATATACATATATACACATACATATATATATAGTATTCTAAATAACAATATTATTATAAATAAACACTATAAATTCAAGATGTTGTACATTTTTTATTTGAGCTCAAATCATCTTATGTTCTTGTTTTGATGGCAGCAGTCAGGTAATTGACATCCTTCTTTATACTGTGCATTCAGACTGGACTGTACAACCATGCTGTAATTCAGTACCAGCAGATTGTAAACTGGTTAGAGATGGAATGTGGTACAGATAAGGAGCATCTACAAGCCATCCAGTCTTTCCTCTTAGTGGCCCATCTGAATCTGGCTTTGTGCTATCTGCGGTTGCGAGAGTATTCTCAAACAGTGGATAACTGCAACAAGGTAGAGTAAGATAACAGTGAACAAAAAAAATCATCTACAGTATGCGTCTCAATTGTTTTTTCCTTACCGTGTCATACTGGTTTTCATTACTAGGTAATGGAGTTGGACCCAGAAAATGAGAAAGCACTATATCGGAGAGGTGAAGCGCGTCTGTTGCGCAACGAGTTCAGCCTGGCCCTGGTGGACTTTAGGAAAGTTTTGCAAGTCAACTCCTTCAACCGCGCTGCCCGCAGCCAGATTGCCATCTGTCAGCGCAAGATTCGTGAGCATCATGAGCGTGACAAGAAGATCTATGCAAACATGTTCCAGAGGTTTGCTGAACACGATGCTAAGGTATTACACTAGCCTGAAGGAAAAGTTGATTCTTGACAAATTCATTCATGTTGCTGTTTTATGAATGCAGCATTAGAAATGTCTTGATTCTTTACTTGAATAAACAATGCTCTTGGTTGTACTCAACAAAGCTAATCTCATTAAAAAAAATAACAATGCAGAGAGACTCAGACATAATCTTGGGGTAAAGCTTCTTGACATTTGGCAAAGTATTAGCCAAGTTAACGAATAAAATAAGTGCGTTTCATGTTGACTTCAAGCAAAATGAATGCAGTATGACTTTTGTGCTATATACTAAGTCTGCCAAAGCCCTGGAATATTTTTGTGTTAGGTAAAGCCAAAATGTATTTGTTAATGACTAAGAATATCCCCCATTTCTGTAGATCTATAAATTAGTGTTTCAAATCAAGTGTTCAGTTTTTTTGTTTGTTTTTTTTTCAGTTAATAATTGTAGTACTTCAACTTTCGGTTTATTTCCAAGGCAGCATTTACAATTTATGTTTAAGTTAATTAACTAATACATATTTCAGCTTTATATTTCAATTAACAGAAATGTTTTTAATAGTTTTAAAAACAGTAGTTTTTAAAAAATAGTTTGGCAAAAATCATAACTATTACTTGACCATCTAAAAAATGTTGTCTCTGTTTGTAGGTGGGCCGAATAAAAAGGAAAAAAGAAGAGAGTGGAATTTCAGATCAGAATAAACCGGGACTGAAGAGACCACGTCTCAGTCAGGACAGCTCCTAAAACTCCAGATGCTATTCAGGGGGCCCAAGTAAGGAAGGACAGGCTGTGGGGATGGCTGGCTCGTCCTAGACTACGTCATAAGAGAGGCTATGGGTTCGGGGGCTGGACAAGTCCTCTGTAAGCCTTGACCTCTGACCTCATCATCTCCCAGACTGGAAACATATGCTGGGACATATTCTAATAATTAGGTTTAAGGATATTGAGGAGCTGCAAACCTTAATGCCATTCCTACAAGAACACAAAACAAACAACAACAAAAACCAAAGCGCATAATTTAATGACCACCTGTAAACCTCTGCGGTGCACGCCTCAGCTCTCAGAAAGGCATTCATCTGCTGCATTAATGCGAAAGCATATGGTTTAATATTATATTGCATTATAGACTTGAATACAACCTAGTACCTTACCATGTACTGTAATTGTGCAGTATTCAGTGTAATTGCATCGACTTTGTGCATTATCAGATTAGGAGTTTACGTTTGCAGTGGTGGGGTGTGCACTGGAGGCTTGATGTTTTTTGTATTATAATTGTATAAGTGTGTATGATATTTAGATGCAAGTGACCATAGTGGATAGCTGGACCTAAAAGTGCAATCCTCCCTTTGGAGAAAACCTATTTTGTGAGTCTCCCAGCTGTATTCACAGGAGTCACAGCAGGCCCACATTCACAAACACACTTTTGATACTTCTGTGGGACTTGTGCATGCTTCTTTACTGCCTCCTGGGAACGTCCTAGATTTGGAACTATATTTACAGGTCAGTTTCAACCTGAAACCCGGTAGATATACTGGTCTGAAGTTCAATAGCTATATTTTTGAGCTGAGTTTCCATTACAGTTTGAAGTTCAAATGGTTTTTAGGGAAATCTTTTGACAAGATAGGAATATTTCAAATAACTGTTCTCTTAAAAACCTACTTGTTCATTTGATCAAATATTAACTTGTGTGTTTTGCATGTTTTTCAGTATGTTCCCCATGTTTCAGACAGTTTTAATAATATTAATAATAAACAGTTTGTTAACTTTTTCTGTTTACCGTTTGATGCAGTACAGCAGGCCTGTCAATAAATCTTTGTTAAAGATGTATGTGCATTAATGTAGTGGTTTGTCAACATCTAATCCTCAACCTCATTCAGAAGGTTTGTAAGCAAGTAACTTCATGACAGCTTCAGTTCCCAAGCCTTGATTTATTCCAATAAATCCAAAAGTATTTTTTTTTTACATATAGGGTATGAGTGTGGTTTCTGAAATAAATAATTGATAAATTAAACTTATTTATACAATACATATTTAAAATAAAATATTTAACTACAATGCTGGCAAATGTATATTACAATAATAAAGCGACACTGACTTTGGGAATTGCAGTATTAAATAAAATTAAACTAATGACCCCTAGGAGACTCCTCGTGATTGATAGGCCTACATCACTCTAACAACACCCTCAAACTGTAAATAGAATACTAAATGATAACAAAAATATTTCAGCGATAAATATCAGCATGGATAATATATGTATTTGCAACAAACACAGAACATGATTGTCTTTTTGTACGTCTGTTAATCAAAACACTTCTTAGCAAAATAATGTCCATAAATATCACCACAAACAACAATATCGCATTGACTAAACATACACATGTCTACTTTTACACATACACTTCGGACTGTCAGCTGCAATATCGCTTTACTATAAAGTCCCACTTGAGGCACTGCGGAATTCCCAACCATTTCCTGATGTATGAACTTATTAACACTTCTAGCTTATCCACTGTTGTCAAAGAAACCTCGTACACAATCAGTGGTCACAACAACCTTGGCAATAGACCAAACTGAAAGCACCAGAGTTTTAGTTTGCCTGGTAGAGCACAGTTGTTTATGCTCTTCAACCCTTCCACTGCTTGCCGTCTAACTTCTCCCACTCGAGCTGTGTCTTTTAGATCCCCATCGTACCATAACCCAAGACTCTTCACTGGCTTCTCAGAAACTTTTGGTATTGCCTCACCATTAATGAAGAATGTTTTATCTACAACCTTTCCTACCGAGATTCTCCTTGATTTGAGGGCTTAAATTGCATTCGTGCCCATTCAATATTATCTGTTAACTCCAATAACTGATTGGTGCAGGCTACTGTTCAAGTCATGGTTGTCATGTCATCAATGTATGCTCTGATTAGTGGTTGTCGCATCCTAGAAGCCAAGTGCTCTCCTCCTACAAACCATGTTGATGCCCTAATGATGACTTCCATTGCCATGGTAAAAGCCAGTGGAGAAATGGTGCACCCTGCCATTATTCCAACCTCTAAGCATTGCCATATAGTGCTGAATTGGAACATGGAGCTTCTTCCTTCTCCTTTTTAGCAGACTGAATTTGTTGCCAGATAACATTGACCAGTGTTCTAAACATCCTGAGAACCCTGGAATGCCCGGAGTGTCAATGAAGCCATTCTTTAATACCAGTAGGTGGCCAAGCAATAATGCTGAAGAAAATCTTACCTTCAAAGTTTAATAGTGAAATAGGACGAAACTGACTGATGCTTGTCTTTTTCTTTAGGTATGAAGACTCCACCTGCTCTGCATGCTCTACACTCTCAGAAAAGAAGGTACAAAATCTGTCATGTTCAAATCTGTCATAGCACCTACATTTCAGGTGCTAATATGTACATTTTTATTTCAGGAGCCAATATGTACATTTTAGGTGCTAATATGTCTATTTCAGGAGCCAATATGTACATTTTAGGTGCTAATATGTACATTTCAGGTGCTAATATGTACATTTTAGGTGCTAATATGTACATTTCAGGTGCTAATATGTACCACTAAGGTACCAATATGCAGCCTTTGTTACAAAAGTGTACCTTTTGAAAAGGTACAGCCCCAGTGACAGCTTTTGTACCTTTTTTTCTGAGAGTGTAGGTACAACCTGTTTTTCCCATGCCACCAATTTCCACAGAATTCCTGAAGCACTCTTGTACACTCGGAACTCCATGAGGCCTTGGAGATGATGAAGCCCTTGCCTTTCTCACAGCCTGCTCTACCTCTACCACTTTCCACAGGTGCACAGACCTCCATTTGGTATTCTGGTAGATTGATGGGTAGAATGTCTGATGGAATTGGCATTGGCTCATGCCTTTTTGCATCTGTATGCGTTTCCTCCAAATATCTCTCTAGCTCAACCCCAGATGCTTTTAAAATGCCATTTTTCTCACTGGTGAATATTTACAATTTTGAACGGGTCTTTATAGAAAATAGCCCTCACACGTTCCTTCTTTTTGTAGCGATTCCGTAGGCGCTCAGCTCCTTTTTTTCCAGAGCGAACCTCTCACTTCCATATGTGTAAATGATGTCTCCAAATTTATCCATCTTCTTTTCAACTGTACCAGTTAATCTTTCTAATGCAAAGCATAGATCTCTCTTTACCATGTCCCATGCAGTTTTCTCACAAGCTCTTGGCCATCTAACTCTAGGCCTATATGCCCATTGAGGTTCTTTTCTCTTTTATGCTGGTTAGCCTGCCCGGGTTCACAAGTATCAGTATATTCATCACTAACTGTCTGTGCAAGCCCTCCTCTCCTCTATGACAGGGGTGCCGATATCCTGCAAGCTGTGGTTTGCTTCCTGTTGCTGGATTTCATTCAACTGACTTGACTGACTTCTTAAGAAGTACTGATCAATGAGAGGCCCTTGTCCCTTCTCTCTCAAGCACTTCATTTTCCCTTGATGAACCTTCAAACTGTTTTCACCTTGCTCCAGCCACAGACACAAACTTGGAGTTCGATGACTTTACTAACTGCTGATCTTCAACTAGTCTTACTCCCCATACTCATATCCGTTTCCATTCTTAAGTCGTTAACCATGTTGTCCAACATTGAGTCATCTTCCGCCCCCACTCTCGCAGACTCTAGAGGTATTTTTCTCTTTAATTTCTCAGAAGCCTTGGGCGGGTGTCTCCAGCATCCTGTAAACACGGACACTGCCGACAAGGGTAGCTAACCCTTACCAGCCCCAAGCTCTTTCCACCACAGTCACTGGACGTATCCAGATCTTCAGGAATTCCATTACACGAGAGTAGATGTTAAATCTTCATGCTGATTTGTACTCGGCGTTCGCCAAGATAAGTTTGAGCAGGCCTATTTGTAGACGTTTAAAAGAGGCTGATGTGTCAACATTGATTTATTACAATATTGAGGTGTTCCGTTTTATTTTGTTTTTAGAAAATAAACTTCTCACAGACCAACTATTTCTTGTTTTCATTGGCATGCCATTTAGGTTTTGAAGAAAGGTGCAGTGAGATACTTTTAACTCAAGTGGAATTGGAATTTATTTCTTATTTTTTAAAGGGCACCTATTATGGCATTTAAAATGTTCCTAATATTGTTCTGGGAGTCCCCAACAACAGTTTTACATGAATGTAATGATGTCTTATAATATGCATTTATTTTTACCTGATTTGCTCACCGACTCCCAAATGATTCGTACAACGACTCATTTTTCCAAACCACTCCTTTGTGTGACGCTAATCGGCGGTGATAGGTCAGATGACCCAATCAGTTATTGCTTGTTAGCATAACGCATAAACATATTGATAAAGCACTGCAGTACAACAAGACGCTCTATTCTTTATGACAACTCCAATAACAGCGACAAAAAAATTCACATATTTTAAAAAATTTACACTGGAGACCTAGAAGCTGCGCTGCGCGTAACTTACACACACACACACATAATTATTGCGCCTTCCCTCCTCGCGCCCCGACGCTACAAAACCCATAAAAGCAACAATTATTAATAATACTTACAGGTTGTGATTCGAAGGAGGAATCTGATCCGTATACACTGGGTACTGAGACCTCTTTCTGGAACAACCGGCTTGCGAATCCACATTTGAATTAATTTATGTTTTTGAATGATTCGTCATTAAAATGATGAGAACACAATCGGGCTATACCGTTGTGGTATCGTTGCAAATTTGAACTCTAACCACCGATTCTTCACATGCTCGTCCCTGGTAAATGAAAATAAAGTGGCTGAACTATCTTTGCATCATAGAACACAGCGTCTTCTCGACATGAAGCTATTCAGCTGAAGTATTTTTGTTCTAGACTTCAAGTTTACACTTCCGTCTGCGCGGGCAGTAACTGGGCGCAGCCAATATGCTTATGTTTCGCATCTACGTCACTACGAAACAGCTAATGACTCGTTTCAAAAACAATTCATTTCATAGACTCAGAGTCGACTCTCACGTTTGAAAGACAATAACTTTATAAACGGTGCACTTTCAGATATAAATCTTTGCAGGATGTTTTCATTCCCTAAGAGCTATATTCCACACCATATGAACAGTCATTTTCAAAAACCCTTTTAGACAAATTGTTGCTCCAGTAATATTCAATAAAAGCTGAATAGTTTATCATATATTTTGAAATGTATTTTTTTCTTACTCTTTTGGCCTGTGTAATCATTTTCTGTTCTAAGACACGAATAGCTTGTGTTGAGTAAAATAAAACAGTCAAAGCCTATTTGCACTGGATATACTGGTTTCGAACTAATCACCGACCGCAGACATGTCAGACATGCAGACAAATAAATTAATTCATCAAATAAATGTACTAAAATGTAAATGCTTGAAAACAATAACAGCAATAGAATAGCTTTACAGTAAACAGTTTTAGCAAGACCATGTAAACAAACAAAAAAATATAGTCCAAAGTGGCAATTAGTTATAGGATAACGCTTTACGGTAAACGTTAACCATGTAAACAAACAAAAAAACACAGCCAATGTCCAAAGTGGCAATTAGTTATAGGATAACGGACACAGCGCATCAATGATCGTCATGTTTGTAGCATGATCCAGGGGATTAAAACGTCCAAAATATATTTAAGGCCAAGTGGAGTTGGTAACTAATAATAGTAGTAAAAGTGTAAAGTTGCATACAATGGAAATACTCACTAATGCAAGAAAAAAAACTACCTCAAAAAAACTGTTATCTGTGCTGCTGTTGTCCAGTAACTCCAGTTGGAGTTTTCACCCCGATATGGCGGCCGCGCTACCGAAGCGCCATCTAGTGGCTGTTACCAAAAAAGCATCAGCGTTTCGCCTCTTGTTCTTCTATACTCTTTGCTGACACACTACTCTTACGGTTTATGCCATAGAAAGATATGGGAAAATTAGTCAAGTAGACCGTAGTCCAGTAGAGTAAAAGTTTGCTAATACTCAAAGTACAAAGTAGCCAAAAAAAGAGGTGAAGATACCTTGAGTAGGCAACATTTACACCATTGCTGGAGACTAGTGATAGCCTATGCAGGGTCAATCATTGAAATAGAAAAAAAAAATGTTGCTATATGCAAATACTTTGAAAAGTTATATTTAAAAGTAGCCTACAATAGACGTAAATACTACTTATTTCAAAACAACCGCCAGCAAATAGTATAGTAGTATAGAAATGTTGTTTACTTAAATATTTTGTCATTTCATTATCTTTTTAGAACCCAAACTGTGCAAGAGTAACACAATTAGTATAGGCAAAATTCACAAATTAATTTACATTGTAACTCGCCCACTTTACAAATCCATAGGAAAAGGATTTTTTTGTAGTGCAAATATTCTGCTTTTTCATCCTCAGCAGTGTGGGTGGCCCTTTTGGTGTATTTGCAAAAAGAGGCCTTTACCCTTTAACCCAGTTGTACACTAAAGAAGAGCACCATCACTGATGACCCATTCCAGAGAATGATAAACAGTTTCAAACTAACTTTTGCAAATGCATCTTGTTACCACTATCATTATATAAACTTAAGATTTACTTTACTTAAAATTACTTTAATCTCCAATGGTCATTGTGCAAATGAAATGGCAGTTCAAAATGTAGGATTATCATTATATAAACAACATACTAATGTAATCTAATCATTTACACGAATAAAAAAATAAAAAAAATAAAAAAAAAATCACACTGACACAGTAAAACAGCAGTTCAGTATATACTAACAGTCTGTCATGCCTGACAGCAAAGCACGTCTAACGTTATTCTCGAACCATTTAATCCTAGAATACCTGCTTTGCCCTTTCACCTAGTTGTCTAATATTTGCTTCAGTGATTCAAAACAACACTTGAAGCAAAAACAAGCTGCTGTCACCAATCCACTTCAAGCAGCAAACATTTTCAGTCATTTAACTGTTGATCTGAACAAAGCATTTATTAAAACATTATTAATCACTGGCCTTTCTAGAGCATCAGTTATAAAAATGACCTACAGACATTCTCTTAAATTATGCATTTCACTAAAAATATAAACAGACTGAACGTCCAAGCAGATTTAAGTAGCAAAATATTGAATGTACAACAATTACCCCCAACATAATTTACTTTCTTAATACTTTCTTAAAACACAAGCGCTTGATTGACCTACAAAAACGTGAGAAATTTGACTATTCTAAAATTCTATTACAATGTGACATTTGATTGATATGACTCCTTTTACAACAAGTCTGTCATAGTGAGCAGCACTAATCTCATATACCAACTGTACTGAACATTGGTCTATCCACAATAGGGCTGGTCCCTTATGGCAATAAATTATTTTTTTCTTCTATCAGAAGAACTGATATCTTCTGACTGTTTAAGATACAGCAAAGCTGGTGGCGCTATCACACTTAAAGATGACGTCAAACTGAGTTTCCCTCAGCTATACGCGGAAGTTATGCTTATATTTTCCATTTCCAGTTTAAAGCAATCAACTTTTAGATGCTTGCCACTGAGAAACGTAGATAGTAATATTCAATAACTTAATAAACACAGTTGTGTACAGTTTTTTGTTGCCTTCTTGAAATCTCATGAGGTCTTTAAAGGCATTATTGGTTGCGGTCATAGGGTCTCTTTTTGTCTTTCTGATGTCAAAGGTAGATCACTTGCTGGAGTGCAAAGGACACGTAGTCTCTAAAAAATGGCAAAGCATAGAGTTGCAAAAGATTTAAAAAATGCTTTAAACATTGCTTTTTTTGTACATTTAAATGTAATTAAGTGTTAAATTATGTATGGAATTACCTCTTTCAGTGTACCAGGAGTGATCAGGATAACATAGATCATCCATAAAGGAACCAACAATGTTGAAGAGAGAGTGAACCACCAACCAACAGCATAGCCCCACCAGGGGTATTCAAATGTGTTATTAAACTTTAAAGGAGTGAATTTGACCAAAGAGAAGATAAATGTACCCTAAAGAAGCAAAGACATTAACTGAATTAATGCTGAAGACATAATAAAGACCTTTGATATTCTTCTATAAAAGTATTACTTCCTAATGATTGACTGATAACAGAATACTTCCTGATTTTAACACTGAAACTGTATTTTCAGTGAAGCTACATTAAAAAGGAAAGTGCTATACAAATAAACTTGAATTAATAATGGTGAAGAACTAGAATAACACTGCAATTTATGACCTAATATGACCATACCACCTTGAATCAGAGTAAAACGTGCACTTACTATACACACAACAGGAGTGACATACTTCCAACAGTATTTCATTAGCGTCAAAGGACGATAACCGATCATGTCTGCAATGTTTTCATATAGACGATCAGCACCTGGAAAACCAGAGACAAACCAAAAGTCTTAGGGGAGATTATACACAAAACAATGAGGAAAGAATGACCATGTCTGCATTCAAAATCTTGTGTAGGTACTTGTTTTGAATAAGTAATTACTTATTATTACTGCGGCCACTAAAAAGGATGTTCTATAGTATGAATGTGTGTAGTACGAATCCAATCCGGACGTACTACATTCACCATATTGCCATTGCCATGTGACCAACCAGCGACAGTCACAAATCTTTTCCTGTGGCCTCAATAGAAAAGTGTTCATCACATGCACACTTCAGAATTTCACCGGAAGTAATAGGTCATACAGGTTCTTTTTGTCTACTTTTTGTAATATTTTATTTTTGCCAAATATAATAGGAGAGTACGCGATTTTGGATGCAATTAAGGTAAATTACCTATACGTATTCAAAGACTGCCAACCATTTTTGTGCTCAGTTCTTATTGTTTATGATTCATGACATGATCAACCTTTACTATAAACAGTGCAGCAGTATGGTGGTGGCTTTGCTTGAAAATCTGGGCTAACAACAAAAAAGCTGCTGATTACTCTAGCCCCACTATTGTCCTTGGTGAAGGCACTTAAAGGACCAGTCGCTCTGATAGAATTGTCCTTGAATAGATAATGTAATTGTATAGTACGATAGTAGTTCAGCATATCACAAGGGTTGTTCTAACTTTGGCACAGTGTTTTAGAGACACAACCTTTAATTTGGTTTAATCAAGCATAGTGTAAGTATGTTCAGTTGTGCAGGGTAGACAGACACATGTACTTTCTGCATTTTAAAGAGGTGATTTAGTATTATTACTCACCATAAAACCAGCCAATACATATTGACTGTGCAATGGCAAATAGCAGGAGGGTCATTCCACTGCAGGAATAGTAATCAAATAACTGGAAGATATACAGGCCACCCTATTGAGCCAATGCAGAAAATGTAACAAAACATGATTAGCACTCAAATCTCAGATTTATTTTCTCATTGATTATTACATGGTCTGAATTAAACAGCATGAATCAGTAAAGTACAAATATCAAATAATCCCAGCGTAATAACTAAATTATGAACATCATTACCTCTGTTACCATCAGGAGGCCAATGAAGAAGCAGCTTGTACAGATGATGAGGAGGAAGAGTTTACGACGGTGTCCTTGGAGAAAGAAAGTGGGGTTCATGTCTGTTATGGCTGTCATGAGAGCCTCCAAACCCACAAACTGAAAAAGAGAATGAGGTGTAATGACAGTGTTAAGTTTTTAATGCAGTCCTGTCCTGAAGAACTTGCATAACACATTTACTGTAAGTAAAGTGCATGCACTAAACTCTTTATAGAGCTTTATACAATAAAAATTGTTTCAAAGCAACTTCACAGTAATAAACAGGAAAGTAATAGTTCATTCATTATGAAAAAAAAGTTCAATTTTTCTGTAAAGCAGCACTACAGAATAATATTATTATTCAGCTGCATCTGATAGTGTCAGTGCAATGCAATTTTCACACTCAAACGCATCATGTACTTGTGAGACAATGTGTACTCACCTCACTGTCGAGGCCCAGAAGAATAATCATGATGAAGAAACATATGGACCACAGCTGAGGCATAGGCATCATTGCTACAGCTCGTGGATATGCAATGAAAGCCAAACCAGGGCCTGGCAAAAGAAGTGAAATGTGAATTAATGTGTGGGAAATGTATAGAAAAAAATGTGCTTGAAAGTGTCAGGAAAACTGACATAAAGAAGCTGCTGTTGTTTAAGTTACCTGACTCTGCCACCATTGAGATATCAACCCCCTGTTCCAAGGCCATGAAGCCTAAAACAGAAAAGATGGCAAAGCCAGCCACAAAGCTGGTTCCACTGTTCAGCAGGCACAGATAAATACAGTCTCTACAAACAGAAACAAAGCAATCTGTCTATTATACAGTCATTAGCTGTTCTTACCCAATTTATATATATATATATATATATATATATATATATATATATATATAAAAGTATATCTGTATTCTCATGACATAAGTTCTCTCACTTGTAGCAGTTGTTGTTGTACTTATTGTAGCTTCCCAAAGCTGTAAGGCACCCAATGCAAAGAGCATAGGAGTAAAATATTTGTGTTCCGGCATCCATCCACACCTAAAGGTATAAGAGAGCAAGTTCACAACTGCTGACCAAGCGATTGGGCAATAATACACGACACATGAAGGGTCAGGTGCAGTTCCACTGTCAAATATCCATAGCCTGATTTCTTCATACTCATATAGTCAGAATGTGAGTCTGATACTGCTCCATAGGGCTTTGATTATGAGGCGTCTTAACCGAACCAGAAAAAAAAAAAACTCTGCACTCAATTGATTAGACCTACAACCAATCAGAACAACGCAGTAAGTGACGTATCTTGAGCTACGCATATTTGTCAACAGAACTCAACTACACAGCACACTGGAATAGTAAAATAATGAGTGTTGCTTCTTTTACTTGGACAAAGGAGAAACCACAACGACAACAGGGTTTTCATTGCGTCCCATCTTCTTAGCGACTATCGGAGACAGCTGATAAAATAAACTTTTGCCGAATCCTGTAAGAAGAACGGCAAACACATCTTTCCGATCGACAAATGCCTTGATTGCAGTTCTCTGTTCGTCATTTAAAATGAATGCGCTGTCAATTTCTTTTACAACAGACGTGATAGTGGAATCTATACATCTCAATTCTCCAGCTTAGTGCTCTGTGATAACGTGATGATTACGTAACTGCAGATCATCTGTCTATCATCGTATAAAGCCCGCCCTGACAATTTGATTGGCCCGACCATTTCTGAACCGATCATAATTAGGCTACTCCTCAATGGATCGAGTCCAGACCGACCTTCCCGCGCAAAAAATGTTGCGGGTGGGGTTCGGGCTGGCATCAAGGCTAAAATATCCAAGTTACGTTTTTTTAATGATTTGGCGTCACTGATTTTTTAGCGATTGTTTTTTTAAAAAGCTCAATCATTTGTTTTGGCATTCGTCTGTAGAGATTGCGATTAAGTAAAAAATTAAAAAACAACATCTCTAAGGACATAAACAATATCTAAGGAGCTCTAAGATTTTTTATTTGTCCCTGGCTGATAAAACCATGCTCTTGAAACTTATATTGACACAGACAATCAGACTTGAATGCATCATCACATAAAAACAGAACTTTTAGGCTTTTCAGATGTTAACATTCACCATTATTAATTCCTTCGACTGAAAAAGTCCAAATAATAAAGATCTCATTCTCAACATTGCACCCATTATGAAAGGGGAACTTTAAAGGGTTAGTTCACCCAAAAATGAAAATTCGGTCAGAAATTACGCAAAGCTTCTAGGTTGTACGTCACACGCATCATACACATGACCAGCATCGGCCAATAGTGAGCCTACGTGTGACGTGTAGTTTTACAACGTGAATTCACTCAATGCCCACAGAGAAGGAAATGATTAGTTGAATAAAGTCGTTATTTTATTTTATTTTTTTCACACAAAAATTATTCTCGTCTCTTTATAAACTTAAGATTGAACCACTGTAGTCATTCTGACTATTTTAACAATGTCTTTCATAACTTTTGGGCCGGACAGATTTAATCAAAAATATCTTAATTTGTGTTCCAAAGATGAACGAAAGTCTCACGGGGTTGGAACAACATGAGGGTGAGTAAATACTGACAGAATTGAAATTGAATGAACTAACCCTTTATGGTAGAATACAGGTTTCTAGGTCACTGATATGACAGGCCCGATGGTCATGTGAGCATACATCATTTTAAACAAAAGCACCAACCAAATTAATTTTTACTCTTCAGTTGCAAATGTCTTATCAAATAGAGGGGAAAAAATACTTCATCTACAAATAATATCACTCATGTGTCTCCGGATTTGTATACCTGTGGGTCTGCAAGGCGTGTTGGATTTGGGTAGAGGTAGAAGGAGATGCCATCAATGGCTCCAGGCAACGTAAGACCTCGAATCAGAAGCACGAGTAGCATAGCATACGGAAATGTAGCAGTAAAATATACAACCTAAAGATAAAGAACAAGGGAACTCCCATTTTGAGATATAGCAGACCTATTTTGAATTTATATAAACAGTTTCAACTGGAATAAGTTAATATTCATGACAGACTGAAGTAACTGTATCAGATTTACCTTTCTACTGAGTCATAATTTATATATGATAATGATCTTTTTCAAATTAGCTCTTACCTTGCCTGTGGACTTCACTCCCTTCCATACACAGAAGTAGCAGATGATCCAGGCCAACAGGAGACACAAAGCCAGCTCCCATCTCACACTGCCCAGCTCATTCACACTTCCAGTTATATTCAATACTCGCCTCCTACAAGAAACACTTTTTAAAAAAAAACTCATTTAACTATTGTTTTATTTCTAAATTCATGCATCTAACACAACAATTACAGTTGAAAGTTGTGCTTGTATTAAGTGTTAGAATACATTTGAGTTATTTAAATGATTATACTACTTTAAATTATTATAATTTAATAATTTATAATTTAATTACACCTTAAAGGGTGAAGATGTCAATTTTCCTAGGCCAGACATCACTTTTGGCCTCGACTGTAGTTTAAACCTTTGGTTATTTTATAAACTCACTCCCAAAATTCTTTAACAGGTGATGATGCGTTCTCCAATAAGCTCAGGTTTCCCATTCGATCAAACTCAACACAGTTTTCTGTAAGGTAAAGGAAAAAACATGATCTATTAAACAAAACAAACAAAAAAACATTCACAGTAACTAGTATTCTAGCACACCTGAATTCCACCAGTTCTTGCAGGTAGCCCATGGTAGTTCACTACTAAAAGAAGAGAAGAGATAGAAGAAAGCCCAGGCTAAAATGACGATGTAGTAGACACTGGAATAGAAGATGACCACCTGACTCCCATAACCCAGACCTAAAGGAAAGCAAACCACAGCAATTACCCCCTTTAATATGTTTCTTATTTTGACAGCCTTTAAATTCAAAACCGGTTCGCTTTAAATGTGCTGGAGAGAACCATATGTATGTATTGCATACTATTAGAGGTTAAATTGATGACTTAATAACGCATTTGTATTTATTATTTATGATGAATTATTATGAATTTACACATAGTTTTTTGTATGAAATATAATATGAGTAATTTAGGGCTTTGGAGTTTGACTATTGTAACTTGAAACATGAAATTATGAAACTGTTCTATTATTAATGGGTGACTTTTATGAGAATGTAATTGGGAGGTGAAAGGCTGGTGTGTATATGTGAAGCTTAACTTTGGATAAGTACCCATAATCTATTTTTGAGACTTATTATTGCATTCTGTATGTGTAAATCTCTCACCAAATGTGTGCCTTAATTTTTGCAACCTTGCTCAATTCAAAATGTTATTTTACAAGTATTGATTTATTATGAGAATATATTTTTTTAGAAATAACCGCTTTTAGAAACGGCAATAAATTGGAAAATTCCACAAGTTAAGTAACGTGTGTGTTGTTTTCATCTTCATGTGACATTTTCGGTAAGCATGGAGTCATGAGTTAATGCTTCATGAAAGCAAAAGCAAAACAGTTACAGTTAAGGAAAAAACTAGAAAGAAAAACAAAGGTAGCTACTTCCTTAATTGTTGACATTATCATTCCTCACAATTACAATTTTATTTATACGTGTATGAAAAGAAAAAAAACAAAAGAAAAAAAAAACACACACCTTTTTATTACAGGTAAATAATTATAGTAATACCAACAACGGTAATCCGAATACCTACACAGCCAATGAATACATGAAAAAAACAAAACAAAAAAATTGTAATTTAAACTTTTTTTCAAACTGATTAATACAAAAGCAACTTCACATTTCAGACCGTTATTATTCACTATTGCAGTGTACAGTGTTTACTAACATCCACCTAATTTTATCAGAAAAGAAACATACATCACTATGGTTGACATATAACATGCACTATATTATACATTAACACTGACATTAGAAGTGAACAATGAAAACTCACCTTCAAATAGTGGGCAGATCTTCCTCCAGCAGGTGACAGACCCTTGGCTGGTGTACTGACCCAGAGAAGTCTCCATAAGAAAAAGAGGAATGCCACAGGCAAAGAGAAAGACCAAATATGGAATGAAAAACACTCCTAAAAAAGAGAGAAATACAGCTGTTCTTAGTACAAGACAAATAAAATAAAAATAAAAAGCAGAACTGGTTGAACTGAGTTGTCTAAATAGAGTTCACAGTTTTAATCAAACAAACCTCCTCCATTCTTGTAACACAAATATGGAAACCTCCATACATTTCCCAAACCAATGATCTGGCCAGCAACAGCTAAGATAAACTCCACTTTACTGGACCACTGGCCCCTCACTCGGATTTTGAGGCCCGTGTCATCTTTTTCTGAATCCGGATAAGCCAGTTTAAACTGCAAATCTGGATCATACTGCATCTCCATGAAACTGCAAAAAAGCAAACATCTGTCAAAACATTGACGCCTGACAGGCACAAACAAAGTTTAGAACAGAGTCGTGATTGAAACATGTAAAGGTCAAAAACAGCAATGAGTCTTTGTTCAGTGCCATCTGGTTATTCCAGCTCTTACACTGGCAGCTAGGCATTCAAAAAATGACATTCAAAGTTTCCCAGAGCAGCGTAAAAGACATCAACCACACGTTTTCTATTTCCCTAATAGTGTGACGTAGCTGCATGAGAACATACTGTACACAGATTTGTCACTGTTTGAAAACAGTTTCATCAATTATTTTTGAAGACCTTGGTACTTCTGGTAATAATTGTTTTTAATAAAAAACTAAAAGTAAAAATATAATTCATCTTTGTTACAGCTACAAAAATGATTTTCTCTTTGCATTTTGTTGTTTGATAACAGCAGGGCTATCAGGCGGTTGTCAAATTAAGACCGAATACACAGATCCATATTCTTTTTCAACTGTTAAAGTTCATGTAAGCCATAAGCAATTGTGTTTAGGAGTGTAACGGAAGCAAGCTAGTAAGAGCTTTGTGTGTAAACCTCACACCCCTGGCCACAAGAGGCGGATTAGCGAGACGCTAGAGACTGTGGTCTTTAGTCTCCTTGTTAGTGCACCAGCCTCCCATGCGAGACGCTGGTTCGAATCCCACCCAGAGTGGGTCGAATAGGACCGATTACATTTGGTGCCGTGACCCGGATGGGAGTGAGGTTTAAGAGAGTGAGTGTAACAGAAACAAGCAGTAAGAGGGCTGATAGCATCAGCAGAAGCAAATACCATAGATCAACACTTTAAAAGTTTAGAAGTTATCATTAAAAATCTCCCAATGGAAAAAAATTTATGAAGTTTTTACTTCCGGAACCTGACTGTTGAATTCTACACTTGACATCGCCCATCCTGCAATGTGAATATCACAAATGTGCACATCGTGATCAATATCGTGCAGCCCTAGAATAAATACTGTTAAAAAGATAGACTGCAGTGTACATATACGATCTAAAAGCATTTGAATTGTTTTGAGTGTTTGCACAAATGTTCTCAATATGAATTTGTTGGTGGAATTATGAAAGAAGTCTACTTAAGATTTGTATTAAATGTAGAGTGCAGTACGTACATGCTGTTTGTGCAACTAAACAGCTGAAATAATATTGTGTCCCTACAACAGGAGACATAGCAGGGTGCTTAGACACATTCCCTTCACTGCCCTCATTTGTTGTGCTGTGACCCTCATGTGAATAAAAATTAAACAGAATAATATAGTTTCCCATCGACCAAGGTACTCCATGGGGTCCACATTTGGTTACATTTTGATATTTTTAGGTGGTGTAACTGCTTGGAGATGATAAAAAATAAAGAAGTCAAATTCTTTATTCTATATACATCCACTAAATCAAAGTCAGTAACATATATGCCTTTGTTGTTGTCATTTGCCAAGACAAGACATTCAGACCCTCATAACTGTCAAAGGTCAATGTATTTTCACATTGTTTATAAAAATGCACATTTTAAACACATCAAATGGAACAATGTTATTGTACATCAAAAATGGATAAAACCAACATGAATACAAATACATAATTCCTGTTAGTACACCTGTGTTTTATACTACATTTTAAAATGACTACAACTAATTTCCTGCTACACATCCTTATTTGTTATTGACTCTTGTAATTGTATAATTTAATTTGATTGTGTCAGGTGGCATGTTAAGGCGAGGTAATTAGGTTTAAAAAAAAAAAAGAAAAAGAAAAGAACGAAAGACGTTTTCATTTATTAACTAACCTTACTGTACTACATGCTTAATTGTAACCCTAAACAGCACTTGTATCTGAAGCACGAACTGGAGCAGATTGTCCATGATGATCTGAATACAGAGAAGGAGGAAACTCACTCACTCAGTTATAGCGCTTTTGTTCATGCCCTTTGGCCTACATTCAGCAGCCGAAGCCGAACACTTGTGCTGTTCAAACCCACGCGGAGGAGAGACGCCGGGTGCCAAGTGAAATACTTCTATAAACAAAAGCCAGATAGAAAACTGCTCAACTACGCAGTTAATCTCAGAGCTCAATTGATCCCCTTCAGTGAATTAGAATGCACGGGAAACAATAGAAAACAAAAGCTATAGCCTACATTAGAGGTGTTACCTGATGCAGGCGACCAGTCAAAAGTTCAGGAAGTCCAGCGTATACACTGGCCACGAAAGTTACGTTTTACCAGCACGCTTCGGTCGTTATTATACAGTCGCCGAGGCTCACCCCTCTTATTCTCCCCTCCTCTCAGAAGGGGAAACAAGCCCATACAGAACTGAGAGTGTAAATCGCATGTCCGTGTGTGTGTGTGTGTGTGTGTGTGTTGTGTGTGTCAGCTCAAAGGCGGGGCTTAGTAGCTGTTCTTATTGTCAGTATCTTTTTTTACAGTCTATGGTCAGTATTAAAGTACTAAATTGCTGCGTCCCAATTCGCTTACTTATGCTACGCCCTAAAAGTATAATACTCTTTTGTGTAGAAAAAGTAGGTGTGTAGCAAAAGAGTAGGCAAGCTGGGACACTATCACGTCATCTTACTTTAACGGACAGCTCTGTCGCGTGCTGCGTGCATCCTGTCACCGTAAACTGCCCTGTCAATCATCTTGTCACAGTTAAAATCATCCATTCTATCTAATTTGATTTTCTACCGTTTCGGAGCACGTTCATCTACCTGCCAGTCGTGGGTCTTTCATGCAGAGACTGTCCATGTTTGCAATTTTCTAGCCTATAATGATGCATTTAAAAACAAAAGTAATGGCTAAACTTATCTTTACAAAAGTTCGCAATGCTGCTGCATGCAATATAATGTGGACAACATTGAATAAATTCATTTTCGTCAGGTTAGATACTAATAATTAATCACTCAAAGCTCTTTATCTAAACCTCTTTTTTATTGCAATTTCAAGATTTACAAACAAACATGGCTGCATAACTTCCTTTTCTCATATAGAATACAAAGAAAATATAGCCAGAGGGAGCAGCAAGAAAATAAATGTAGTCTAAGTACAAAAAAGGATATTTGTAAGGAAAATAAACATTAAAAAATAAATAAATGGTAGGAATTATGATATAACAAGACAAATAAGGGGTGAATGCAGTCTTTGTTCATCCATTTATCTCAGTTGGGAAGAGTTTTAGGGTATTCATTTAAATTCATTTAAAAAAAAACTACAAATTTGGGAGATGATTTCACAATTCTACAATTATGAATGAAGAATTTGGCTAGACATGCAATTGTATTAATACATAGCTCACCCTTGCTTAAACCAAATGTAACATCGCCTCTGGATATAGAGGTTGGGAATGAAGATATCTGATGCTTAACCCGTTTATGTACATCACACCAAAATAACTGAATCACATTACATGAGAAAAACACATGGTCCGTAGTTTCAACATCATTTTCACAGAATGTACATGTGTTATCATCTATACCAAAGGGAAGTCTCAGTAATTCTTTAGAGGGATAAATGTCGTTCATTACTTTAAAGTGAGCTTCTTTCACTGGAAGGTATAGGGAGTGTTATATACATTGTTCTTAGTTTAGTAAATGTTGCTTTATCAAATTTTTGTATAATATTATTTTTATTTTGCTTTTCAAGGTAAAGGTATTCAGTAAAACAATTTCTAATAAAATGGTTAGTGCATTTTCTATCTAGAACAGAGATCCCTTGAATTGGGGCCAATTGTGGTTGTATTGGATAATAAGCCAAATTGTTTCTTATTAGAAAGACAAATTGTTGGGGTAGCGGTCTGTGTAATTTAGTGAATTCTGATTTTAAGGGTTGGAAATTATGTTTGATGCAAAATTGTTCATAATTTAAGAAATTACCATTGGTATCCATTAAGTCAGCTATGGACCATATTTCTCTCATACCAGTCTTCAAAGAACAGAGATCTGTTACGGTACAGAACATATCTGTTGTTCCAGAGTACAGATGTGTGGGGTGAGAAGTTATGAACGTACTACATTTTCCAATACAAAAGTATTTGTCTGTGAAACTTTGACAAGGATAGGTAATTTGTCAACATTAAAGTCCACTCTAAGAAGAAATTCTAATCCTCCTATTTTCTTGAATAACCTATTTGGAATTTTAGCTAAACCTCTCAACACAGCCGCGGGACCAGCGCGGGACTCGCGCGTCCTCCGTGTCTGTAGTTTTTTAACACTTTTTACTCGTGTTTGTAGTTCTTACTGAATCCTCGCGTCCACCGCGCAATGGTCTGACTTCCTGTGAAGTGATGTATCGATGTTCCCTTATTCCCCTTGTAGGTGCGTAACGTGCGTTCCATTCGACCGTAAGTGGACTCCGAAGTGGACTTCACAGGGTATTTCTCCATCTTAAGTGAGATTCCAATTCGAAGGGAATAAACATGTTCAGTTCGAAGGGCACTGAAAACGGCATAGGGAATAAGGGAACATCGATACATCACTTCACATGAAGTCAGTGAAGTCCACTTCAAATGATAAACCGTGTTCAGGGAGTAGCGAGCAGTGAACACTGCGTAGGGACCCTGTCGAATGGAACGCAACTACTGTCTATGCTTATTCCCTATGCCGTTTGCAGTGCCCTTCGAACTGAACATGTTCGTTCCCTTCGAATCGGAATCTCACTTAAGATGTCGAAATACCCTGTGAAGTCCACTTTACCGTCGAATTGAACGCATTTAGAGTGTGCATCGATCTACACTTCGGATTCTGACCGGAAATAGTAGACCATCCGGATATCTTTGAAACACTCATTTGAACATAATACGATTTGGGACGTAAGTTACTAATTCTATTTTCGAATAGTATTTAGGATGGATAATATGCGAATTGGGACGTAGTCAGAGTCATAGTTCAGGTCAGTTCAATTAGTTATTTCCGTGTTTTAAAAGTGGAACCTTTGATCGCTTGATCAAATCCTGTACGGACGTTTGTCATGACGAACTCGTTCACAGGACGATGGGGGATTTTGCTTTTCTAGTCACCAGCGCCCCCTAGAGGGAAACTGTTTTTACCTCCCTAGTAAACCGTCTATTTGCCTTTTTATCTTTTTAGTCTATGCTTTTTACATTACTTTCTAGCACTACTTCTGTAGGTTGTGTGTGTAATTCTATCAAAGCGTTGTCAGACGGGTCAGTTTGGTGATGCGAGTGCCAGTGCGTTGGGTATTATGGGATGTGAAGGACACACTGTTAAAGGTCCGGCGCTCGGTTGGGGAGCAATACTGCAGCGAAGCAGATCGAGCAGGACTGAAGCTGCCAGCGGCTCAAGTCGAAACTGCTTTCAGACAAGCTTACCGGCAGCAATCCACACTATTTCCCAACTATGGCAGAGCTCAGGGAATGGACAGCCAGGTCTGGTGGACTGGACTAGTGAGGAGTACTTTCGCCCAGTGTGGGGTAGATGACCCTACTCTACTAGACAAACTAGCCAACAACCTCTATTACAACTTTTGTGGACCAGAAAACTGGGAGGTAATGGGGTATTTTACTTTTTAGAATTACAAAATAGCTATTTTGTTTTCTTCTAACTAACATTGTTTTTTTCAGCTGTTTTTATTAGCAATTCCAGAAATCCCCTATAGGAGGCGCCTGTTTAATGCAAATTTCCATTTCTAGTTATTTCTTACCCTCTAATGACAAATTGAAAAGCTTGAATGCATGCGTGATGCAAGACAAGAACATACTCTTATGCTCTAGTGTCTTACATTATATTTAAATCTAGGAAGATTTATTTTTATAATCTCAGATTGTGTCGTCATTAGGTGTTTCCTGATTCTAATAGCACCCTGAAGTTCTGCATGGCTTTGGGACTGAAGCAAGGAGTTGTTTCCAACTTTGACAAGCGTTTGGAAGGGATCCTGAGGGGATGTGGCCTTCTCACTCACTTCTCATTTCTTCTGACCTCAGAAGAAGCTGGGGTTGCTAAGCCAAACTCTGCCATTTTTACCCAGGCGCTGGTGCGATGCGGTGTGCAGGCCTCCAGTGTAGTCCATGTTGGGGACCATTATGTGAACGACTACTTGACCTCACGCTCATTGGGTATTCGAGGTTACCTGCTTGACAGACAAGATTCTCATGGGCACCTTGATGTTCCCACACAACATAGACTACGGAGCCTAGATGAATTACCAGCTCGATTGCAGCAGGATACAGACTGATTGATGTAATGTTGCTGTAGGATTAAACTAATTTTTAAATTGACAATATATTTTGCAGTTGCCCATTTCGTATGATGAAACAGATGATGTAAGCCTGAATGTCAGAACATGGAGAAAAAAGTTCCACTTTAATTTTAATAAAATTAAAAATAATGCCTCTAAATTGTACTGTTGTTATTATTGATCTGCCAATAAATTACATATTATTTGTGACAATTGTCTGATTATTATCGCATGTGATTTCTGGTTAAATACTGCTCAGATATCAGTTCTCAAATACTATACAATACAATATAATAATATAATAAGACATATTGAAGAAGTTCATATAATGCTTTATTCAGAAAACAATACTCAGACACTTTACTAATTCTATTTCAGAATTTGAAATGTTACATTGCTTTCCCCTATTAATGAATGTTTCTGAAATGTGGAATTTGCCCATTGGTAAATTAAATTAAGTCTTTTTGTCCTCGTGCAGAATACATTTTGTTTAATATATATATGAAGAGTTCAGATGCAAAAGCCTCTAAATGCCATTTGAAATTTTCTTCTTCAATGATGATTTTTATCAAACTTGTATATTTAAGTTCAGTAATTTCACTTAAATAACAATTAATATGTAATTATCATTGCCATTTAAGTGAAATCACTGAACTTAAATATACAAGCTTGATAAAAAATGATCATTCTAGAAGAAAATTTCAAATAGCACTTAGAGGCTTTTGCATCTGAACTCTTCATATATATACAGTATATATATATACAGTATATATATATATATGTATATATATATATATATATATATATATATATATATAGGTGGTCAGCAGATGGCGCTGTAGTAGCCTACATTATTATTGTGGCGACTAATGGAAGCATATGCATTTTCATCGACGGACATCAAATAAATAATCCAAAACAAACAAAAGCGTTTATATAATTTGGTTATTTGTCCGAATGATTCATAACACAAATTCTTGAGTGATATAGTTCAGATAATAATTAATGTCTAAAGACAATAGAAGCATTTCTGTAGAGGGCTGATATGATTGTTTCCCGCCGAGGCTGCTGGACAGTGGACACACGGTGGAGAGGGAGAACACTTAACCCTAATACTCTTATTCCTCCCCATCTGCTCCGGCACAGATACCAGTTATGGATGGACATTAAAAGAATATCAAATTGGACGAAACATGAGATGACGAAAATAAAATAAGAATGCTAGTAATGGTGCATTTTGAATCAATGACTTGTAGAAGATCATGAGGGCAAACAACAGCAGGACATCTAGGCTACTGTCCCCTTCCAAGTAAGGTACAGAAGAGCTGTTCTCGGGAGTATTTTTTTACCCATGTGATGTTCACGTAAACTACAACTGAAATACATCCTTTCTTTTGTTTTCCTATATCCCTGCTCCTAAGCGTGTATTTTACGGGAGTTCCCTCGGCAGAGCGCTTAAAACAAAGCTGGCTTTAGAGGCTCAGCCAGTCGGCTATGAGGGGCTGTGCTCCAATCCAATTGAAAACCTTAATGGGATTGGCAAACCCATCAACAGAGGATCGTGGCAGGAGAAGAAATGGAGAGGAGATAGAGGTTGAGAGCAGTAAAAGATGAAATATGCAATAGGGTAAAACAAAGGGGTTTCCACAGTGATGCCACAGAATAAAATGGTTCTATGGAATTACTGTGGAAACTCTATTTTGAAATCTTATTTTTAAGTTCCCCAAATAACTTTTTTCAGTGAACAATTCTTAAAATAAAAATTTGTGTCTAAGTGTAAAGAGCATTTTAATAACCTAAAGAACTTTTTTCACTGTAAAGAACATTTTATCCAGTGGAATAGTTCCAAGGACATAAAGGTTCTTCATGGAATCAGATGCTATATAATGGGGGGAAAAGTTTTAATAAGGAAGGATTTATTTCCTGGGGCACATGAGGAAGAAAAAACTTCTCACTCAATAAATAAATAAAGTAGATGGAGAGAAGCGAGGCAAAAAATAGGGTATGAGCACAAAAGACGGACAAATTAAATGATTTAAAAAATACTCACGCAATGTCACGCCAGCACTTTGGTCACTCATGCGCAAGCTTAACTCCTCTCGGCCATGAACTCTAGAGTCCTTCCCCTCATCTCACAAAAGGTTTAGCCAAACAAACAAATAAATAAATTGGTGAGCAAGTAAATAAAAGAGCTGAGCTTTTCCCTTGGTAAAAAGAGCACTCTGGCAGTGGGGTTTTTGTTGAGCTGTGCCTGAGGTTGTCTGTTTACATTTCCATTTGACCTTTTTAAAATATTCAGATGATGGAGGATGTAAATGGACAGAGTGGTTTAAATGGAGGAGGATAGCTTGGCAAGGAAAGAACATGCTTTATAAAACATTTGATGAAATGAGAAATTATAAGGAAGAAAGAATCAGCCCAATATTTGCAGCACTTTGTGTTATTTGGAAAAATATGCAAACTTAGACAAAGAGGTCAAAACACTCAAAATGTCATACAGCCAAGCATGCGTCAGTCATATTGGAATCATCTACCTCTAACCTTCATGCTTAACTGATGATCAGTGACAGTCAAGAAAACACCTCGTTCTCCATATACAGTACAACCAAAACAATATTCCCACGCACTATTTACAAAGGATTTTCCCACCAACATGAAACAAGACAGCATTTTAAAGAGAAAGACGATTGGTGTTTACAATATATGATACATAAATGTCAGTCAATAAGCAGATAACCAGGTTTAAATGCGATTCAGTTGGAACAAAGCTAGAAATGCAAGCATCATCTTTGGTGCAAAGGCCAATTCAGTGCATCCGTTATTCTACGAGTTTGACATTGTCATCACAGCTGACTGCAATTCAACGTCTGGAAGATATGCAATGACTGCATGTTACAAAACTGTTCAGTCCAAAATACCCAATACTTACTTTAGCATTTTAACCAAAGTCCTCTCAAAAAAACAAACAAAAATAAATTTGATCAGTCCGAAGTCAAACACAAATATGCACATTTTCTTCTCATTCATTGAACTCAAACATTTTCTTTTTACATAAATGTAATCCTCAATCCATTCAATCAATCACATTTAGTTGCATATAAATCAAATGTTTTTAATTAAGTGGCAGATTCATTCAATAGATCAATTGATAAACCATCTTGAATCTGTTCTTTCAGGCTGATCATTTAAAGACCATAACTCAAAAATATCCAGTGTTTAATTTTGAATTTTGACGAAAATCCTGTAATTTACACATGCTTTTGGGATTATTATATAAAACTCCTATGATTCTCCACACATGGATCAGACCAGAAGACAGCCAATAAGCCGACCAGGTTAAGTTCTCTCTTTTTTGTGCTTTATCAATGGCATATTTTCTATTTGGAACGGCACCTCGTATAAAGATATATAAATATTATACTGGAAATTCCTTCCAAAGGAGTTAATCAACATTTTTTTATAACATGAGATCATTGGCAAAAGCTTGGGGACAGATAAGATAACAAGAACAAAATTAACACACGGTTTAAAACATTTCAGTGTAAAAGCTTCCATATATCTTACATAATAAGTTGAAAAGGATAATGTGCTTCAAACTGAATATCATCCATTATTATTGCTATAACCATGGCTTTGAGCCTCTGCATGCAATGACCCAATGAAGTTATCAGTGCGTGAATAGCCATCACCAACATCCATCATAAAAAACGTAAAGTGCAGATTTAAAGATGATCGTGTTAACAGTGTCTGAAATGTACACTGCAAAAGTGCACAGTGAAATACGTGCAATTATGTGATCAGACATGCATGCATCCAATCATTCCAATGTGAACATGTAGATGTCATGTGATGCCACACCGCTGCTGAAAAAAGTGCACACACAGAGGCTCCATTAACAAACCATTTACCTTACCGATCTTTGATAGCAAGCACTTTCGGTGCATGAAGGAAATATTGAGTTGAATTTGTGAATCTATGCGTAACTGATAAAGTTACATGTCATAATTGTGAAATTTTCACCATAAATTTCCAGTTTTTGGATAAATAAATACATAAAATACTGATTTCCATTGGGGTAAAAGTGTTATAATGTGCAAGAGATCATATTTGTCCCTCAGAGTCGTCAATAGTCTCTCGTGTTTGCCGATTTGTTATCATTGTTATAAGGAGATCAAGTTAAAATAAATTGGCAAAAGTTGTAGTTCTATTATTACATGCTAATTGGCTGACTTAAATTGTCACAAAACAAATCACCCGTTCTTTATCCATAATGTGATACAGAAAATGTGTTATTATACCATTGTTAAAAGGTTGTGTTAAACTACTTTTTAGTGAGTTGCACATCCCATTAAAGGCATATTATAAGCCTTTTTATAATAACGGAATTTTAAAAGACCAAAACCGGTAGAATGTCGTCTTATACATCTATAAGGATATTTATAGCTTTAAGATAAGCTCTGTTAGTAAGAATGGTTTCTCTAAAACCTCTCTCATCGTTTTTCACTTCCAGATCAGTTGTTTCTAGCCATTGATCCGTATATTTTTCAAAAGGGCCCTGTCTCTACATCACTGGATCCTGTAGTTGATTTCCATGTAGCTTTTTCTGAGTTCTTCTTTCAGAGTTTCTCAGTTTTTGAGTTTCATCTTTAACTCTTGTCATTGCTGTTGTTGTTCCAAAAACATCCTTTTTGAAACGACTCAGTCTGTCCGAATGTAAAAGTTCCACGTTTGATTGGCTTCTCCCACTGACCACATCGAAATGCTCTCAATATGCGCTGTGCTTACCAACTGTGTGAGTCTGTAGCTGGTGAAACACAGTCCAGGAGTAAGGTGGAGGATAACTCCAGATAATGCATGTCAAACCACTGAAAGGAAAAAGACAATTGAAAAACAAAAGGATTAAGTCATTGCAAACTAGTTTTTTTTTTTTTTTTTTTTTTTTACATAATAAGACTCTGGGAGAAGAAAAACAGAAGGGTTTGATCAAACTACACTAAGACGTTTCAGAAAAGAGTACCTTGTGCATAAGGAACATTTTCTGATGAGATGAGAAGACAAGAAGATGGAAGTGGCAGAGAAAATTGACAAAACATACACATGTAAGACAAATATGACACAATGTTTTACTTCAACCTGATGGCATGCGAACGTATTGAAATGTTATTGTGGAAACACAGTCACAGTTCTACCAAAAAATGTGAAATGCCTGACGATGCTGACAAAGTATGTGACAACGTCCTGTTGACAAATCTAATTAAAGGTTTGCAATACTCTGTCAACAAGCTCCACTGTGAGCAGACTGGCTGATAACTGAGGGTATTTGTATGGACAAAATTCCAACAATTCCATTTCTAATTGCATAATTATGTCTGGGAATATATATTTTAATTATTTAACATTCAAAAGTTTGAGGTCAGTATGCTTTTTTTTAAAAGAAATTAATACTTGTATTCCAGACGGTCGCATTATGTTTATTAAAAGTGATAGAAAAGAGTTTTATATTTTTTACAAAAGATTTCTATTCCAAATAAATAGTTCTTTTTTTAAAAATTATAAAATGTTTCACCCTGACCAACTGAAGTTGCCATTTCCTACACTCTCATTGGTCTCATGTTCATTGACAGTCTAAGGACAGAGTGACAACAGATGGCTAAACTAACAGCTTAAACCCTCGAGCAAAGACAAATCATAGGCCATTAAAAGTTAAAGGCCTCGCACATATGCTGGTCTCAGTATGCAAACACCCCCTATTGATGATCATAATTAGGCACCACATGACATCTAACACATCAACCTACAGTTCAGCAAAAAAAAGTAGTAAAAATGGAAATACAGCACTAAAATACCTGTTTCGGAGTGACAGCAGGATGTCCCACCCGTCAGAATACTCCTAGGCTTCTCCGACCAACACGAAATGGTGTTACCTCGCCCACAACCACCCCGTCTCCACCAACAACTAGAAAGACAATGTGTGAAGTCTACTAATTTCACCTTCACCACAAAAAATGACCTTTCAAAGTTTGTAGAGTACAGTTTATTCAGCAAAGATCGATCAAAAGAATAAACACTAGCAAATACTTGCACTGGGAAAAAGAAAAAAATACATATGTATTAGATATTAGAAAGATCAGTGTTGGGTGTCACGTTAAAAGTTATGTGCATTACCTAATCATATTACTTTTTTGATGTAATGACTGAGTAAAGTAACACATTGCTTTATAAATGCAATTTGAGTTTTTGTAAGCATTAATTTAATATGCTTTAACAACAACTGAATTAAAATTCTTCTCCACAACAGTCACTTGCGTGGACATGTGCACTTTTTTCGAGCATGGGCTGGCTACAGATAAGAAGTACAAAAGTAACACAAAACACATTACTTTTTTACTTTAAATAAAAAGGTATACAGTAACAGTAGGTAATATAACCTGTAATGTTGAGAGATCTTTTGTATGGGATTACATAGCTCTAGGGGTCAGGGAAAATCAGTCATAATATAAGAATATTCAAAATTTGTTTTAAAAGAAAATGAGGTGTATGTTAACAGGTTATGTTGTTGAATGCATTCCGGAGGTAAAAAATTATCAGTGAGATCAAGTCTCAACCAGGTAAGAAAAAGTAACGCTAAAGTAGCGTAACACAGTACTTTCCATAAAAAGTAACCAAGTAATGTTTTTAGTTACTTTAAAGAGTCACGCAATATTGTGAATCACTAATTAAAAAAAATTAAGGATCATGGGACACTGATCATGATACTGGAGTAATGGCTGATGAAAATTCAGCTGTCATCACAAGAATAAATTACATTTTAAAATATCTTACAATAGAAAATATTTGTTTAAAATCGTATAAATTGTCTAATAAATGCAGCCTTTCAAAAACATTAAAAAAAAATCATATTTATTCCAAACTTTTGACCGATACAAAACAAATTGATAAAATGAATCAAATGAAATGTGTGCTAAATGAATAATACTCACTTTAGTAAAGTGCAGAGCAGCATGAGTAGGACACTGCCCACCACACACAACACCAGCATGGTGGCCACAGTCTGCTGCCTGTGGTTAGACGCCACCACTGCTAAGAGGTCTGCATGTTCACATCGCATACCCATAAAGCCAGGATGACATCTAAACAAAACATTCACAAGTGTCCATTTTATTATCATTGAAAAAATATGAAAACATGCTCACCAAATTTCAATATTCAATAGATGTTAGAAAAATCATTTAATTCCAATCAAATGAATAAAGTAATTTGACATTTTGTGGTGAACTACTACATACGGATGTGGACGTGGAGAAAACAATCCCTTCCCTGACAATTCCCTGACAACAGGAGGACTCATATCAACTCAGACACAATCACCAACACAGATTTGAATTCTGCCATTGTGCCAAATGTATACACGGAAAAGCAATTTAACAAAAGACAAAACGTGCTTGTCTACACATGGACAAGCTTGATGAACATGTTGTCAGCAAGAATTTATCCAAGTGAGTCAGCAATCAAAATTCATGTCAGACCGCTTAGGCTTCTATACACCAGTACTGGCATGACAAAAACAATTGATTTTTTTTGTATTTTCGATTCTAAACCTATTATTATATAAAAATATATGTTTGTTTATAAATATATATATATATATATATATATATATATATATATATATAAGTCCGACCCAAACCACAATTGTAGTATTAGTCGTTTTTTTCAATGATCAAGATGCACAACATTTTATTTAATATACAAAGTGCTTTAGTGATGCTGGTGGTGATGGTACTAAATAAAACAAGCACACCACCCTTATCCGTTCTCTACACTCTGTTTGACCTTCTGACAGCAAGTTGTTTACAGCTGTTGTAGAACAAAGCCACCACTATATCAACTGATGATAAATATATGGCAGAAAATTATAAGACTGCTTGAACACACAGATCTGATTTGATTGCTTGAAACAGACTGTTTAAAAAAAAAAAAAACTAGTGTGATCATGATTATTGTTAACGGACTTGGGGAAGTCAGAGTGCAGCTAAATTAAACACAGCAAATTCTTAATATTCAGTCTGGAAAAATCTCAGGACTTACACACACGCAGGCGTTTCTTCCAGGATGAGAAATCGGCACGTGCCGTGAAAACAGAAGTGGCTGTGGGTGTCAGGGCAGTCATCGAAGTGAGAGTGGACAGCGGCTGCTATAAATTCTTCAATAACAAAATAAAGAGAACCTGGGTTAAATGCTGACATTACTGACAATAAAAAAAACTTTATTTGCAAATGTTTTTCCTGTATCTCAGTTCCTCATAAAACCTGCAAGATTACGTTACCACTTTAACACAAACAAATTGATCTACTTCATTAAATACCAGCCTTTGTTATCATCAGCACAATTTGTAATATGTTGTGAAATGCACTGGTGGAAAGAGAAGTAGAAAGGAAGAAAAGAAATTACAAGTTCTCAGCCAGGTTACAAATCAGAATCCGGGGGACTGCGGATGAAAAATAGCCTCTGGCTAAATCCGGTACAATACATGAAATGGTAATTTTATGTTAAAAATTGTGCATGGTCCCTGCATAAATAAATAAATAAAGAAAGAAAGAATGAGAGGATTTGATATTATCTGGAATATCATAGCCCATTAGTTTCTATTATTTCAAGACGCGCCAGACTCTTTCTCAGACTCTATCCTCCCTAAGGCACACATTTGATCTAAAGAGAGCACAAAAGGAGACATGGTGTAAGACAAGAAAGCACAAGACTTAGCTAGGACTACCGGTCAAGATGTGCTTTCTTAAAATGGACAAATTCCCTTCTCTAATCATTGTGAGCTTTGTCTACAGAAGGTATTTACATTGGATGAAAACTGTCTGCTGTATAATGAGTAAAAAAGCTAACAGAAATTGACAATGGATGAAACTTGCTGTCTTTGTTTTACCAGCCCACAATTGCCATGTGTGATTTCCTTGTGAGATAAAGTATGATAAAACAAGGTGTCCACTACTGGAACTCCATGAAAATGGGTACAAAATTGGGTCTGGTTTTAAAGTCCCTGTAAAGGCAATTCTAAAAAAAAAAAAAAATACTAAACACATTACAAATGTAAGAAATGCATTGCTAAAACATATTACAAAGTTTGTGCAGTTAAACCGTTAAACAGTTTTGCACCATCTCTGTATTCCGGATTTCTTTTTCCGGAAAATGGGGCTCGATGAGCCCTGAGCTCCTGGACAAGCCCCTACTTGATGACGCACTGAAGCCACTGAGGCTGGCCCCTCCCCTAACACTAAAGCACATTTGCAACTGTTCGCCGCTCAATCGCGAGTTACTGAGACAAGTAGTGGTTAAAGTTGAAATTAAATGGAAGCAGCGACAAATATTCTGTATTGTGATGTGTATCCGAGTGAAGCTGATTATTGAAAAAGAAACAATTTATGTCTTGATTCGATCCGTTGGCTTTTGAGTTGAGTTAAAGTCCGATTGGATTTTAAGTTGTGGGAGTTGCACTCAAAAATGTATGCGAATTAAGCATTTAAGCATTAAGACTAAATGATTGGAGAAATCCAGCATGTGTCACCAGAGAGAAGACATTTTCAAAGAAAGATTGAGTTAAGCAAAATTAATTAAACATTACAAAGGTGTAATGATGTACATGATACAATCTTTATATGAAGTGTCAAGCTACTTACAAAAAATGATTTACTATTTTGATCGCTACCAAAGAAATCAGAGTTTATATCTGAACAATAAACTTTCATCCCAATGCTTCTGTGAATATGAATTACTGTCACAAAGAAATAATGATACTACTGTGTGCTTGAAAAGACTGTTTGTGAAGCTGTTTCCTCTCTCAGGCTCAGCAGCAGTGCCAATGAAGATTTGAATATCGAGCTGTGATCGTACTTATCAAAGGTTTAATAGACATAACCGAATTGTTGTCATTTAGGAATAAGATTGTGTGGGTCTTTAAATCAAGACTGCGTTTTTCAATAATTAATCGTGCAGCTCTAGTACACAGTGTGCCGAGTCTGCCGACCAATAAAGATTACATTGGTTTTAATTCTATATCACCGTATCAATTCAAAGAAGTCCTCATCCTTTTAAAGAGAGTGCAAAGTGGATTTGGCATCACAGGGCAGAAAACGTGTCTTCTCAACAAGTTGACAACTGAAACCAAACTCTTCCAGGCTTCAGCTACAACTGCAGTTTTTGAGACAGGTCAAAGTGGGCTGCCAATGGCCCTGTCCCAAATGGCAACTTAAACACTCATGGACTTCCTGCGAGTACACACTTTCATGACATAATGCCGACATAACTTTTGATGACATTTGACTGTTGGAGAGTCTGCTGTGGAGCTCGGAACAGTACGGGCTCTGCAAAAGTCCACATCGAGGGTGTATATCAACGGCTCGAGAGCACCTTTCTGAAACCTAAAATAACAATGGGACACCCCCTATGGCCTCAAGGACTTAACGGACACACGCACATGGCAGCCATTGTAAGTCCACAAGACCAAAAGTGCATATGAAGTGTGCCATTTGGGGCAGGACCAATGGAGACCATAGGTTGGCATTATGGGATTTGGTTACAAACCTATGTAGATTTGAGCAGGAAGCAAGACTAGGATTGCTGACGACTCATTTCAGGCTATTCAGAATTCTTATTCAGGCATATATATTTCAGACTTTTGAAGCCAAAAAAGAACTGAGCAAAAAGGAAAGAGCACACAGAACATACTTCTGACACGTGTAGTAGTAGTGGTTGTCGTCGAGCTGCTGGTGGTTGTTGTGGTAGACGTGGTAGTTGTTGTGGTGGTTGCAATGGTCGTTGTTGAGGTAGAATTCTCTTGTACCTGCCCATATGTGAAAAGGGAGCCTACAAATCAAATACAACAAACACATATTCAAAATCAATAGCACTACAATGAAACAGTAGCATTGTTGAGGACAGCTAAGTAGGTGTTCAAAACCTTTTACATATCCCTTCTACTGACTCGCAGTTAAATCTAGTTTTGTAAACCTCTTACCCAAATGTGAAAATGAGGATCCAATAAAGTCAAAAAATGCAATGAGAAAAACAGCACTGAGAAAACAGCGGAGCAACAGCATCACACACGAGAGAAAAAGGCTTGAGTGGCGGCCAGCACAAATGAGAAATAACTACTTAAAGGCCACTTACTTTAGACTCAGAGAACAATTAAAATACCTTGGAACAACAGTGGGAGTTTCTGACTTCTAACCTTCAAACTATTTTGAGAACAGCTACAGCGAAAGACTGGGTTAAGATAAATTAAAGTGGATTTGTGAAGCGGATCTCTCCACATACATAGGACTGTAAGACTACCTGATTTGCTGTGGTGCTCACACTACACAACAAGGTTTCTTTTAATCTGTTTCTTGACACAATGCTGATGAGGTGAACAAACTACAAAACATTTTGTCAAGAGGCAGTCCCGACCAACAGTGGAAAAAAAGTTCTCTCACATAAATTCGAGCAAGTGAATTCAAGATTTTTCAGTTTATACCATCTGCACTGTAATTGGCGGGATTCCACCAAGTCGTTTCACAGCACACAGTAAAGGTCACATGGTAATAATATCTATATTGCCACGTCTGTGACTGATCACATCGCTGACATGCTCATAATTAATGAGCATTGGCGACTGCAACAAGCACCGATTTGGCTTGCGACCCTGGGGTTTTATCATAGATCTTGGAAATCAAAATCCAGCCAAAAGTCACGTAGTGTGAGCATAGGTCTTTGTCTCAAGAATCTTTGTCATGCTGTGGGCCTTATGAACGTTTTAAAAGTTCCCTAGAAAGAAGTTTAAGGTGCATAAGGTGCATAGAATAAATCGGGTCGGAGACAGTGCCTCTGGGATGGCAGACCGGGTGGTGGTCCCTCTTTTTAAGGTGTGTTCCAACAACAGGGGGATCACACTTCTCAGCCTCCCTGGATAAGTCTATGCCAGGGTACTGGAGCTGGAGAGGAGAATACAGGCTATAGTGGAACCTCGGATTCAGGAGGAACAGTGCAGTTTTCGTCCAGGCCGTGGAAAACTGGACCAACTCTATACCCTCTACAGGGTGCTGGAGGGTTCATGAGAGTTTGCCCAACCAATCCACATGTGCTTTGTGGATTTGGAGAAAGCATTCGACTGTGTCCCTCGCGGAGCCCTGTGGAGGGTGCTCTGGGAGTATGGGGTCAAGGGTCCTTTGCTAAGAGCTATCCGGTCCCTGTATGACCGAAGCAGGAGCTTGGTTCGCATTGCCGGCAGTAAGTCAGACTTCTTCTTGGTGCATGTTGGACTCTGGCAGGGCTACCCGTTGTCGCCAGTTTTGTTCATAATTTTTATGGACAGAATTTCTAGGTGCATCCAGGGGCTGGAGGGTGTCAGGTTTGGGGACCACACGATTTCGTCTCTGCTCTTTGCTGATGATGGTGTTGTGTTGGCCCCTTCAGACCAGGACCTTCAGCATGCAGTGGGCTGGTTCACAGCTGAGTGTGAAGCGGCTGGGATGAGAATAAGCACCTCCAAACACCTCAGTCGTAAAAGGGTGGCTTGCCCATTTCAGGTTGGTGGAGAGTTCCTGCCTGAAGTGGAGGAGTTTGTATTTTGGGGTTTTGTTCACGAGTGAGGGAAGGATGGACCGGGAGATGTGCAGCTTCTGCAGTAGAAGGGGATCAGTGCAGCTTCTGCAGTAATGCGGTCGATGTACCGGTCTTTCGTGGTGAAGAAGGAGCTGAGCCACAACGCAAAGCTCGATTTACCTGTCAATCTACGTTCCTACTCTCACCTATGGTCATGAGCTAGGGGTCATGACTGAAAGGACAACATCTCGGATACAGGCGGCCGAAACGAGCTTTCTTCGCAGGGTGGCTGGGCGATCCCTTAGAGATAAGGTGAGAAGCTCGGTCACTCGAGAGGAGCTCAGTGTAGAGCCGCTGCTCCACCACATCGAGAGGGGTCAGCTGAGGTGGCTCGGGTATCTGTTCCGGATGCCTCCTGGACGCCTTCCCGGGAAGGTGTTCCAGGCACGTTCCACTGGAAGGAGACCCCGGGGAAGACATAGGACATGCTTGAGGGACTTTGTCTCCCGGCTGGCTTGGGAGCGCCTCGGTGTCCCCCCGGGAGAGCTGGAGGAAGTGTCTAGGGAGAGGGAAGTCCAGGGCATCTCTGCTTAAACTACTGCCCCCGCGAACCGGCCCCGGATAAGCGGAAGAAGATGGATGGATGGATGGATGGAGGTGTATAGAATCGCATTTGGAATGATCTCAGATCTTGACAGTGGAGTCAAGAAAATGTTGATTATAAATAAACTTATTTCATTCAATGCTTTTTAGAGTACTGTCCATTAGCTTAGCAACATTTTAACACCAAACTACTAAAAATTAGTTGAGCAACTCTTGTGAAGAGCTATTTGTGTGGAGCTCAGAGTTGCTGTCTTTACAGCGCATTTCAAATTGGTAAATTGTAAGGTTTTATGATTGTAAGGAGGCAACACAGTAACAGTCAGTTTTGGATGGATGTATATATATATACATATATATATATATATATATATATATATATATATATATATATATATATTAACCCTGGTATGTCAATGTGTCAATTTAACATACATTACAGCCCTACAACACAAAAGCCCCATGCAAACTGATTCACAGGCCATCTACATCCGTAAATACAAATTTCAAAAATGTCCAGATTTGAACAGTCTGTCTAATGTTCATTGTTGTGCCACTATGCTTTGGAAGAGAGTCTGGGACCTCAAGGCATGTTCACTTTTCACTTTATGAAAATTCCTGTTAAATGAGAGGGCAAGTTTCATTAAACTGGAAAACTCATAAGAAAAGCTCTTCTGGTTACAATAATGCTTTAGTGTTAATATTTAAAACATATGCATCCAACAAGCAGGAGGTGGTTCACAAAATACAATGATAAACTTACATTAATAACTTTAAAATTAAACTTGTCAGAGCCTTGCTACTTTTTACATGTTACTTGCATGTAAAGCGAAAATAAGGTAAATAAAAATACATTTAAAATAAGAGGATAAAATAAGGAGATTCATCACTGTGCACTTTTCTTTCTTTTGTGGAACACAAAAGAAGATATTTTAAGAACGTTAGTTACCAAACAGTTGACAATGATTTCAATTTTATGGACAAAAGAACACAGAGACTTTTCACAAAATATCGACTTTTATGTTCCACAGAAGATAGAAAGTCATTAAGATTTGGAACAACATTAGGATGAGTTAATTATGACATAAAATTAAATGAGTGAACTAGGTATTTAAGTTAAGAAAACAAGGGTAATCCCAAATTACAAAAACTGCCATTCCAAAATCATTTTCTTAGATAATGGGACCTCATACATGTCTTCGAAAAATCAAATAGCTGCTTACAACCAAAAATGAGTTACTTTATGGGGCATCAGGCAGGTTTATGAATGCCATGATTTACTACATTTAAATATTTGCTTACTATTTAAAGCACGGAAAGCAAAAACACACAAGATGTCCTAAAGATTTTTAATTTATTTCATAAAACGTGACTGACTTTCTCTCTGCTTGCCAAGATAGGAACGTGCCTTCGTAAGGACAAAGCCATAAAGGATGGCCACTAAAGAATGGCTCTATATTTAAACTATAAGCCCTGTTAACCTTGTTAATGACTGGAGCAAGACTACTGAGCCAAAGAAGCTGCTGGACAAAAAAGGAGAACAAACCACTGCTTCTTCCACATCTTGGTAGACACTGACAGCACATTTCGCATGCTATCAAGCTGAAAAGCTGCACAACAATTCAGAATAATTATACGTTGGACACCCAAGTTCTTCAGTTGATGTGACTGAACAGCAGGTGTCAGGAAAAAGGTGGACCCCTCTAAATGTGTTTTATATTGATGACTAGTACTGTCAAATCATGATGAAACTATGATATATACTGGAAAATCACATGCACATCAATAAAACAATTTTAAAAGCTTCATTCATAGCTCACATCTTCAACCTCTGAATCAAAAAAGATTTAAATAGTTTGAGTAAGCATAAATCCACTTGAGACATTAACATTTAAAATGTGGCAACATCATATAGGCCTAGTCATTTTCTTATAAAGGACAAGATTTCAAAAAAATCTAATATTTGCTTAATTGACGTATTATTTACATTTCAGTTATCTCTAATAACAAATAAAGCCAGTAAATCGAATGAACAAAACATCAAACACAACAACATTTACTCACCGGTGAGAAGAAATATTGTATCCCAAAAAGCACGATACATCATTATAAGGCGTTTGTGTATGTTGTTTAAGTATTCGAGGCGTCGTCTCTTATATTAAAACATTTATCTTGCCAACATAGATGAATCACGCGCCTATAGCCTACTTGAGATTGGCTAATATTGTTAATATCCCGTCACATTGGTCAGAAATCTGACTGCCATAGTAAAACTGTGTTCGTCTTTCTTCATAGTTCCATGTAGTTTGCTCAACACAATAACGCCATGCGTCAATCCAGGTATTTTGAACTTGACGTTAAACTCCGTTTTACCGCTGATATAGAAACGCTAACGTTTTTGTTATTCACTATGATGATAAAGATCAGTGGTAAAACATTGTTAAACTACAGAATTACTTAATAAATTAATCATAGCGTAGAACTCTCTCCACACACACAAGTTGACATCCTTCTGTTCTGCGTGCGTGCGTGAGTGTGCGCGCGCGCATGAGCTAAAGAGAGCAGTGCATGGCTGGAAACCTCGAGTGTTGGAACACAATTTTTTTTTTAAACGTCTATTAACTGTTATTAATTAACACATTTTTTCTTTCATTTTCTTAGCACGCATATTTTATTGTGGACACTGATTTTCAAGTGAATAAATTACGTTTTAAAGCTTGTTAAACGTTCACTGTGTAAGAAAGAGTGAAACAGTTTTCATTATTAAAAACTGTAGCAGATGGTTACCCTGACCTATACCTCTTAACTATTGTCAAGTTTAGCTACCTTTACATGTGAGATGTGGCGTCTGTTTCCAATCCACTCCCACAGGTAGGCTGGCGGTATTTCTTTACCTGGTTAAATATATTTCCTCAAGATTAGATTACGCTGAAGGACCATACAAAATTGGAACCATATA